AGACAGTCTTGCCAAGTCACTACGTTTGCCAGGTTGGCCTCAAACTTGTGGTCCTCTTGCCTCATCTTTTATGATGATCCATAGTGACAGCCAAGGTCATTCCAGATTTTATAAAGAGGTAAACAAATGACCATTCTGTGTTTTAAAAATATATGCCCATATTACTAGAAGTGAAAAGTGCTATAGAAATCTAAAAGAATAAAGACAAGTTTTAAAACAATGCAAAGAAACTTGCTCTTTAGGTCTTTTTTCCTTTAAAACTTTTGGTTTTCACATCTATGTGAAATGAGGTAAAATTTAAAGCTCTAATTTAAGAATCTTCATGTTAGTTTTTTACACTAATGTTTTTAATATTTCAACTGAAAACTGATGACTGGTACTGGGGGCTGAACCCAGGACATTTACTGTTTATATCCCCTACCCCTTTTAAAAGTTTTTGAGACAGAATCTCCCTAAATTGCACAGGCTGAGCTCAAACTTGTGATCTTCCTGCCTTGTCACCCAGGTATTGGGATTATAGGTGTGCATTTTTACATTTCTCTTACATTTTTCATACCAAAATAAATCTGCCTTGGGTTGTACTCCTAGAAGTAGAATGATCATGTCAAAGGTAAGACTCTCTGTTCCACACTGTTAATATCTACTGCAAAAAAACCTTTGGTAGATGGCCCCATTTCACTCCCATTAGCAATATAATGAGGCCTATCTCACAAATCTGGTTTTACTACATGAAAACTATTAATCCATGATTAATCAGATATACTGCTATACTGAATTATTATCATTTTTATGGCTTGTCAACTAACTAGACTGTGGTGTTCCAAGAAGCTGAGTTGTCTATGCATTCACTCATTTATTCTGAAGTTTATTAAATGCCTGCTATGTTTTGTTCCTGGAGAGCTAGCTTTAAGGGAACATATACATTTTAGTGGAGACAAAAAATAAACAAAAGTAAAATTATGAGCACCAGATACTAAGTACTATGGTCCCAAGTGAAGCAGGGAAAGGATTATGGAGGTGGTGATGAACTTTGCTGTTTCTTATGGGTGAAGAGGAAAGGCCTCGCTGGCGACACTGGCCCAGGTACTTAAAGAAGCACACTGTGCAGTTAGCTAAGGGAAGAACACTTCAGGAGGTGCAAAGATGATGGTTCAGAGCTTGCTTGGGATGCCTGAGGAAGCAGGAAGGAGGCCAGGCAGGCCAGACCACAGAAGGAAGTAGAAAACGGTGAGGACTCCTGAGCCTTGTGAGCTTTGCTGGTACTTTGTTTTTCCAAGTTGAGAAGCTATAGAAGCATGTAAGGAATGCCATGATTGGACACGTTTTCGAAAGACCATGATCTTCTGTGTTTAAAACAGTGTAGTTAGATTATGGCGGAAAGTAGCCAAAAGAGTATTTTGATAATTCAGGAAAAAATTATGAATGATACAAAGAAAATAGAAATGAGAAATGGTTTCTGAATGTACTCTGGAGGTAGAGCTAGTGAATTTTGCTAAGGTGTTAAATGTCTACTGTATGAGAAACAGAGCAGCCAAGCATGAAGCCAAGATTTTGGGAAAGGAAAGTATGAAAATGCCATGTACTAAGAAGGAAAACACTACAAAAGGAGGTGAGGACAATGGGAGTTCTGCTTTTGGATATGTTGAGTTTGACATAGAAATCATTTGCCAAATTGTAGTAATGTTCAGATCGCACTGTACCTGGGTTAGTTTTCTACTTCATGTGCCTTTCAGGAATCTAGGCTAAAAAAACCCTGCCCCTGTTGCTTCCTTAGAATAGCTTGTAAGTACTGCTTAAATACACAGCCAGGCATCGTGGTACATATCCTTAATTCCAGTAATCTGGAAAGCTGAAATAGGAGGATCAGAAGTACAAGTCCCGTAAGGAAAACTCAGCAATGTAGCAAGACCCTGCCTCAAAACACAAAAGGGCTAGGGATGTAGCTCGGGGCAAAGGCCCTAGTTTCAAGCCCCAGTACTAATAAACAAACCAACAAATCTCAGAAGTGACAGGCAGGGCCTCAACTTCCATCATCCTCAGTGTTCCACTCACTACCTCACTCCTATCCCATCCACAGTTAAATTCTGGTTCAAATGCCTTGCTGAGTGACAGTCACACTATATTTGCGCCTACCCAGGTGAGTGACTGCAGACAAAAACTACTATACCTCAGTTTTATCACACAAAAATGTGAAGATCAGCACCTACTTTCTTGCCTCTTTGTGGGGATGAAATATGTTAATACATATAAAACAGTACCTATACAAAGAACTCAAATTATCCTGTTGAAACCTATTATGATACATACAGTATGTTTCTACTTTAAAACTTCTATAAGCCCTAAAAGACACATACATGATTTTGTATTTGGCTATATAAAATGCAAACTAGGATGTTTCTATTTCTATAGTTTCTGAATTTGGAGAGGAAACTATACTATCCCAAAATACCAAATTATTTTGAATAATTATTTTGGTTTAGTTTATCATTAAAACAAAGTAGCCTTTGGTGTTTTTATCTAAATACACTATAAAGACACATATCAAGAGTAGCTCTGTGGACTCTGTGGCAGACCATATGCTGAGCATGCATGACAGCTGGAGTTCAATCCCCAGCATACCACAGCACACCTCACATATACCTAATTAAAATATTTAAATATTCTAATCTTGCCAAATTGTACAAAAACATGTATCAATGAAGGGTATACCTTTTTAGATTTGTGTTTGCCAAACACACAATATCCTAGTAGTATATTAATAATTTATAGTTTGGTTTTGTAAAACCAGAGAGAAAACCTTACGAACAAGCATAGTAAATGAGTAACAAATTCTGTTAAAAAAAAAGGCATATTTTTAAAAGTAAAATATATTAAGTTTTGTTGTTAGCACATGAGACAAAGGAAGCAGATTATATGGTGATGAGCCGAAGCACATGCATTCATTAGACAGCATTCATTCTTGGGGAGAAAACCCTAAATTAAGTGAGTTGCTGTTATTTACATATGTTTACTAAGGAAGGGCCTCCTGAAGAATCAGGGTTCTTGCAATCTGCCAGTGCAATCAGGCAGATGAAATATAATGTAACTGAAATAAAAACTTTCTCCACAAGAACAAGTCTAGGGATACAAGGAAAATATGCAAATATAAAGGCTGTCAGACCAATCTTCTATATAAATACCTTCCAAAATTCCATTTCAGAGGCGGGGATAAGGGATTTAGGGAAGACAATCTTTGAATCAAAATTTTACCTTCAATTCTTTGCTTCACTGACTTCTGACAGTTTGGCAAATTGGGAGTCATTACATTTAAAAGAAATACTGCCAAAGCTTGATAAATGCAATCTAAGAGGGTAATATAAATTCCAAATGCCTGGGCAATTTTCTGTAGTTCCCAGCACTGTACTTCCAAAAGTTATCAGATTTAAAATTTAAGCCTTTCTTTACATGATATAATTTTAGCAAAAGCATTACTCAAATTGAGATAATTAAGGTAACACTGTAAATTTTACACCAAAAACTCAAGTCTTATGCATTATTACTCTGGGTGGTTTGAGCTGAGTATGTGTATGTGTTGACGGGAGGGGTACAAGGATTAATTCAGAAAATTTTGAAAAATTTTCAGTCTAGTTATAACTCACACATTCCTATTCAGAAACCTACCTCTTACAATCTGGATGCTGTTGGTCATCAAGATGTCCCATTTAAAAACACTTACCCTCTCACTGCCATAGTATAACGATGTGCCACATTATACTCATGGTTCACTAGCAATCTGCTCTCAACCCAACAGGATTACCACACTTTTGACTGGTCCCCAGATTCTAGATTGGGGAAAGTAGGGGTCATAGACCTTTGCCTGGTCCTCCTTTTTGTTCAACACTACTTTTGTGATTATTCTCCAACAAAAGGTATTTTTCTTCACAATACTGCAATCATAGGCTTGAATACTCAAATACTATGTATCCCACAAAGCAAAACCTAAACTAAGAAACATTAGAAAGAACAAAAACACAAAATGGAAAACTAGATATTATCTAGTTTTAATGAGACCCAAACTCCTTGGTTTAACATTCAAACTTGACTCTAGTTACAAGGGGAAACAAAACACAAATCTATAAAAATGTTCAAATGCCTATGGCCAGGCACATAGTTCAGTAGCATACTGCCTGCTGGGTAAGTCCACTGTCCTGAGATCAATTCCTGGTACCAAAAATGATAATACTAATACTAGTAATACTAATTCTAGGTATGTTGCCCTTTTTTGTGTCACACTTATATAAACAACATTTAAAATATCACTGCAGAAAAGAATTAGAATGAAAAGACAGCAATATAAGTTTTCTATTAAGAATGGTATGAATTTAACCTAAATCAAGTAAGAAAATACAAAGAAATATTAGGAACTGGCTTTTTTTAGGGACTCCTAAAATATACAGCATTTGGAATAACTTTTTTTTTTTGTCTTTTTCCTTTTTATCAGTACCAGGGATCGAACTCAAGACTGCCTGCTTGCAAGGCAGGTGCTTATGCCGCTGAGCTAAATCCCCAGCCCCATTTGGAATAACTTTTAAACACCAACTTTGAGTATCTTTTTAAAAACAAGTAGCTATTCTTGACTTGCTTACAAAAAATCTTTCAGACTATTTTCATCTTCTAGGAGAAAGTTGGGAAAACTTGTAATGCTGACACAGAATAACAAATGGCAGATGGGAAAGGAGAAGGAGAAAGAAGTATGTATGGAGTAAATTATAACATGTAAAAAACAAAGGTTTAAAAAAGATGAGGAACTCACTATATATATATCACATGCTAAGTGCTCTACCACTAAAGTACATCCCCAGTCCAATAGTTTTATATCATAAAAATAAAACCAGAATGTTATTTCATTTAAATGTACAATATGTGAGATGCTCTCTAATAGTTTTTTTAAAAAGTACAATATACATTCTTATAATTTTCCAGCAAATGACATTACTGGATCAAAAATTACCCAGAACAAATCCTTTAATCAAAGATTTATTGTGTTTCCAAAATGACAATCTAATTCATGACAATCTATTATAAAACTTACTTCCACCTCAGTAAGTTTTAAGACACTGACTGCATAAATAGTTAGGTCCATAAATCAAGCACTCACCCAGCAAACAGAACAGCAGCCACACTCTTACACAAACAGTGCGCACTGCTACCTAGACATAAAGCAGAGTTGTGTCCTACAGAAAACTCTTCCTTTTCGCTGAATTTTCAGATACTTCATGAATCATGTTTTTGCATCTTGCTATTCCATAGTCATCAGAAAGTTATTCATTTACATATGTTATAACAATATGTTATGCTAAATGCCCATTTGTAACTGCAAGAAACTCCTAGAAACACTATTGACTATATTATACAAAGTTGTCACACAAGTTTCAGTGTAAGAGATTTACTTTTCCCTCTTAAAGCAAAAAAAATTCCCACAGTTCACATTTACATTAGTGCCTTTTAAATAAATTAAAAATAAAATGCTGTCCTGTCTGTAAAGTTATAAATATTTCTAGTTCATTTTACAGAATATTAAAATGCTTGTAGATGCATTAACTCCCAGGAGACATTATGGCACTAAAGCCAGTTTAAAGAAAGAAGGAAGAAAAAGAGAAAGAAAGAAGGAAGGAAGGAGCAATGAAGGAAGGATGGATGGATGGACAGACAGATGGACGGATGAACCAATGGAAAGGAGGTAAGGAAAAATGAAAAAAAAAGAATCATCATACTGGCCCATGTAAATGTCCAGGATTATTTATCTCCTAATATCAGAAAAACTGAAACAAAGAAAAAGTGAAAGAGAAACAAATTTTAGAAAATAATAACTATGGTCTAAAGAAGAGTTCTGGAAGATCTTCAATTTGAAAACAAAGTTATTTCTGGAATGAACATTTGTGGATGACAAAGTTAAGAGAATGTAACTCTCAATGCTCAGGTTAAAATCACGAAGTATGCAGAATATTTCCAATTATATCAAGAAAGACAAACTTTGAAACAGAGTAACCATTTAAAAACCACACACCAACATTCAGCCAGAATATTCAAGCCTGACAGACATCGATGGAATAAAGTCTTTAGTAGAAACAAAACTGAATGTTATAATCCCATGGATACCATTTACCAATGCAAAGAAAACATGATTGCAATGTACAATACATAATGACAGGCTACAACAAGAAATTATAAACAATTTAAGTATGCAAAATGATCCCTATTAAAGCATAAAAACATGATTAGAAGGGATTGATTCTGTGGCCTGTTCAATTGCTCTTTATATAAAACATTAGCTCCAATTGGAAGAAATGGCTTCCGAACGGTGCTGGCTCCTTCGGGTTGGAAAGAAGGAAGCTTGCTTTGTACAGAGACTCAACAAGCTTGTTTCCAAGGCCCCACCAAGATGATTCACTCCATCAAGTTTAGAGTATCTCCAAATCTACATGCCGAACTTCAGGATTTCGTTTCTGGAAAGAAAAATCACATTATTTATAGCAAAGAAAATCTTGGGAGTTTTCTACTCCTTTATTACAGATGGTGTATCTAGGCTAGATTTCAACATGGTAAGTCTTCTAGATAGATAAAGAAGGATGCTTAAGTCAGAAAAAACAGGATGCACAAAGACAGCCCAAAAAAGCAGTTACTGGCTCTGAGGTATGTATAGTCAGCACAGAAGCCACAAAAAGGGCAGGCTTAACAACGAGGCTAGAAAGCAGGCCCAAATCAGGCTGTTAAAAATCTTAAATGCTAGTTTAAGGAACTTCAACTCAGCAGCAACAAACAGGATCTTCCTTCACGATACCTGCAGTAAGTGAGGAAGAGACGCAGGTAAGTAAGCCAGCAATTACAGTATTCTGCTGCTACAGAGCAAAGGAAAGGTTTTAGGTTTTTCTTTCCTATGAATATACAAAAGAAAAACATTTAACTCAATTTGGGGGGAATTAAAAAAATACTGTGAGAATGGCGATATAGAGCAGTGCAGGAAAATAAACAACGTTAAACCAGGAGAAGCAATATAAGTTATATAAAATATGGCATGAAATTTTAAAAATGCTAAAAATATTAAAAACATTTATGAGAGGCAGAATTAGGGAATAGACATAATGAAGCCAGTAATACTTCTTATAAGTATTAAAGTTATTTCACTATATATTTTTGCATGAGTTGCTAAAAGATTAAAAAACTTTTAGTTTTAGTTTTACCACACAGTCTAATAAGACTTACATTAAAAAACTTTTAGTGTTTAATCTAAAGTAAGGGAGAAAAGCTGTTGTAATTAATCCAGAAATTAATCAGGATTAATAACTCTTAGCTTAAAAATAATATCCCAGGACCATGTGCTTATTATTTATATTACAGGGATTCAGTTCTAAAAACAAAAATCTAGTATAATATTGCAATTTTGTTGAACTATGGCATTCTTTGAGTGGACACAGACTTTTTATAGGCAGTGCTGCTGGTGTGTGCCGAGGGGTCCTTTTCTTTAGGATCTGAGTGTGAGTGGCCAGGGACTCCAAGCACACTATTGTTCACAAGTGTATCTGAAACTATTCCTTGTCTAACTCCTTAAATTCAATATGGGAGGAAAAATCTCTAGACAGAAATAAAACTCTTGCCTAGTTAGCTGTTCACAAGAAATCTGGCATTGTATAGTAAATGTGTACTCTAAACACTGTATAATACATGTGTACTCTAAAAACATCTCGACTTACAAAGCTAATTTACCATATTTTTAAAATCAAGTTTTCCAACCTTCCCAACTAATTAAGTTTATAGAATACATATATGCATAGTACAAAGCACACACACATTTGTGGAATAAATAAAAGAAATAGGATTTAAATTTCTTAAAATGTAATGTTTACTGCTTTAACAAGATACTATGGACATAACAGACACTGGCATTTGATATGCAAAACTGAAAAATGAGTAACTTGTACTAACTTATAATTTTTACTTATTTAGCACATACTTTCACATTTACTATGTCTCATGCACTACTTAATGCAAACTGCACTATTTTAAGCCCGCAGATAGGTTTTATTCCAACACTCATGCAGATACAAAAAATCAAATCATATGATTTATTTTGCAGTGCTGAAGACTCAAGAAAATGCTATGAGGTGGATGCACTAAAGCAGCAAAGATAAAATAATGGGCAGAATGTAGGAAATTTGCTAGTGTGATGGCAGCCTCCCACTGAAGTAATTTCCAGTAAAAATATTTCATCTCAAATATAAAAAGCTTCATGGGAGGTGGGAGAAAATAGGGGAATGGAAGGGGAACAAGTGAAGAGGTAGAATAAAAAAGTTAATGGTTTAAATATCTTCAAAATAGTAAGATATTTTATAATTTTGCAACTCCCATTTTATAGTATCAGAATTTATGAATTAGCCTATTATTTTTTAGTATCCTTACACAGAACTATGCAAATTCTAGAATCTTAAATCAAAAATATCATATAATATGCAACAGTATAACTGAACAGAAATGTCTAATGGCTGTAGTGGTATAGAATTAGGTTTATAAAGGAAAGTCACACATGGAACTTCACTGTCCCCTCCTCATGGACAGAAAGTCTTTCAATGCTAATTACTACATTTTTCAATAACACCATTTAGAAAGCAACCATGAGTCATTAAATGAGGGAATAGCTAGTGCACAAAATTTCAGTGTTCAAAAGAAAATCAGCTTATTTTCACGATTAGAAAGAATTATATTCAATGTATTTCCTTTTGATACTTCAACTAGGAATAACTTTCCTTTAAGATTAATCGTGCTTGATTACCTTAGCTGAAGATGTTTCCCCTTGCTTATGTTGGTTAAACTTAGCTTCCCACTTTGAAAAATTTTTATAAATTGAAAACACTATTAATGATTTAATAGTATCTGAACTACAAAGTTAATTAAATAAAAATAACTTCTCTGTGATATGGGAAAATACAGTTGAGAATGATCAATTATTTTGACTTCTGACTTCCTGTTTCTATTAAAGTATGCACATTTAGTTCATTTTCCTTAGCAAAATTAAAATCAAATAGAATAAAATTCCTTTTTTTCTGTGTTACCCTACTGAAGAATAACCAACTCACATTCTATATAAAACAGTAGTTTCTCATGGTTCAAGGACTGTGGACATCCTGAAACTTTTGAAGGGGGACTCTAAAATCACAGCTATTTTCATAGTAAATAAGGAATAACTAAGATGCTATTTGCTTTTGCCACTATGGAATTTCCTATGATGGCCTAAAAGCCATGCTGGCAGCTCAGCGCAATTAAGCAAATGGAACCAACCTGTACTAGTGGTCACTGTGTTCCTTTACTGACACATACTCAACTGTTAAAAACCAGTTTTACTTTAAAATATCCTTTATGAAATAGTAACAGGTATCAATTTTGTTAAACCTCAACCCCTGAATACATTTTGTAGGATACCATGACACACTGAACATGGGTATAACATCCCTGCTTCATACTGACATATGATGGCACAAAGAAAGTACCCCTCTGATTGCTTTTGTTATGAGCTGAATAAATTGCTTTTTTATCAGAACACTACTTAAAAGATGTGCATAATTCAGTGAGTCAATATTTTCCAAAATACCAATTTATGATGTTATCGAATCATGCACAGGTGAAAGACTCATTAAGAGTACAAAAGCAGACTAATGGATTTCAATGTAATAACATAATAGATAATTAATCTTATCCCAGAAAAGGTCTAGGCTTTGCCCTCAGTTTTAGACTCTTGAAAATGTCCTAAGAATGCCTTTGCTTAGCTGCGAGTGTTAGCTACCACATAGTCTAACAAGACTTACAATGGGGACTTCAGGTCACATAGCATCTGTTTTACATCAGGAGCTAGAGACAAATGGTCAGCTTTTTACAGTCAGTGAGATCTTGGGACATCAAATCTCAAATAGGCTTCTCTGGTTAACAATACTTAAGACAACTGGCATGCATCAATGTCAGGAGAGTAATGCTATCCATAACTCTAAGAGGAGGACAGCACCAATGTTTCACATTTGGAACTTCATTGGATTCTGCCTCGCATGCATTTACCAGTTATACAGTCACTGACAGTGTTGAGTATGTAGAGGATACACTTCGCATAGTGTCTGGTGCAGAGCAAATACCAGAAAAACAGCTGTCACTAACACCGTGTCATTTTTATGAAGGTATCTTACCTTCAGTTCCTCCTCAAGCCTATCTACTTCCGCTCCTAAAGTGTCGATAATATTTTCTCCATGTTTAAGCATAAATGTTTCTAGTTCTTCAGGAGATTTCACTTCTTGAATTTCCTATAAAGAAGAGAAGCGGGAAAACTAAGCATTTCAAAAGTCATAGTGGTACACTAATAAATTTTAAAACTTAATAATGAACCCCACAAAGTTTAATGAAAAAAAATTTAGGTCACAGGCAATGGATTTCCAAAAAAATTCAATTCAGCAAAATTCAGTAATACTACACAGAGGCAGAACTATAAAATCAGTGGTAGAGTATTCAGGTAGTATTGGGACAATTATTTTCCTGTAAGGAAAAAATACTAAACCTCCATTTTAGTCAATTAAATAAATAATCCCAATTAGATTAAAGACTGGGAGTTAAAAAAATAATAAAACCTTTAGAAAAAAACTGAATTTTTTTGTGATAATGGGTAAAGTAAGGATTTTCTTTGCACAAAATAAAAAGTATTAAGGAAGAGTACAATTTAACATTAAAATTAAAAACCATGTTAAATTTTCTACACAACAAACTGCAGAAAGATATTATACTTATAAGACTGAAACAGTCTTAGTATCCAGCATATTGGAAATAAAATATTTACCAAAATATCTGCCAGAATAATACAAATTAACTAAAAACAAAATAAGAAACAATGTAGAGGAAAGTGTAATAGTCAATGAATTTCAAGGTTTATTAACCTCACTACTCCAAGCAATATAAATTATGAGATATTACTTCATACCTACAGTATTGAGAAAAATTTCAAAACTATCAGTATAATCTAGTAAGAATATGAAGCAACAAAAACTTTGATACACTGAGGGCAGAAGTTGAATCAACACTTTGGAGAACAATTTGATAGTATCCATGGAAGCTACAGGTAAGAATGTATTCTTGATGGCTGTTACCTATTTTAAATCTAGCTATCTACTATCCTGAAGAAACACCTGCCCATGTGCAATAGGAAGCATGAAACATTTCTGGCCCTCAAGCATTTCATATAAGGGATATTCAACTGATATTGAAAATATAATGTTGAGATAGATCTGATAAAGGCAAGTGGCCATATCTGTGCTGCTCATTATGTTCTGCAAATTCTCTTTCAAACTACAGCAGTCTTCTCTTCTTTGTGGAGATACATTACAAGACCTCCATGAGTGCCAAAAACCAGATAGTAAAGAACCCTATACATTCTATGTTTTTTCCTATGCCTATGACAGTAAGGCATAAATTAGCCACAGTAAGAGAATAAACAATAATAATAAAACAATTATAGCTATGTACTGCAATAGTTCTATGAGTGTGGTCTCTGACTCTCTCTCAATGGCCAAAGTGTAGACAGCATATACAACATGTACAGAATATGCAGGACAGTAGGATACCTCATGTCCTGGGGAAAATGGCACAAGATTTCATCAGACTATTCAGAATTGTAATTTAAAGTTTACAAATTATCTCTGGAATTTTCCATTTATTAATTTTGAACTGAGGTTGACTGATTTACTAAAATCATGGAAGGTGAAACTGAATGACATGGAGGCAACTGCCATATTCTTTTTAAAATTTCTGTTTTCTTTTGTGACACTGGAGATTGAATCCACAGCTTTCACAAATTACATCTGAGTCATTTTTTCATTTTGAGCTCAGATCTTGCCAAACCACTAAGTTACCCAGGCTGGATATGAATTTACAATCCTCCTGGTTCAGCCTTCTACAGTGCTGATACAGACATTCCTTACTTAATGAGAGTTCCTATCCCAAAACTAGGGTGTTAATAAACTGGTCGCTAAATGAGGAACTGTATATAATATATACATTATAATATTCAGAACAAAGAAATGGTTAAAGGAAACTCTAACTTGATGACTGCATAAAACTATAAATACTGTGCTGTATAATAAGAAAAAAACTACAGTACTGTACAAACAAGGTGTACTGTACAAAAAAAAACCCATTGAGGCTCTATAAACAAGATGTATAGAACTATTAAAAAAAAAAAGGTTGTAAGTCTGAACAGTGCATCTTGGTCCTAAGTACGAATAAATTAAACAGTTAAGTTATTAAATGAGGAATATCTGTATCATACATATGTGGCACCATGGCCAGCTGCGAAACTGCTGTCACAGATTCTGGAATCAGATATCAAAATTCACAGATGTGTAAATAAAATGTTGGGCAAGTTACATAACCTCTCTGTGTCTTAATTTGCCTGTATGTTAAAATGAAAATGTTATTTTACCTCACTGGGTTGTTGAGAATAGGTCAGATAAAATAAATAAAATGCCTGTCACATAACAAGCCCTAACACCTTACTAAGTTTGCTCTTTTGCTATCTCCTCCAATCCACTCTACAGAAAATAAAATCTGTCAAATTTTAGAACCTAAGAAATTAATAGCTGAAGTTACTTTAAAAAAAGTTTTAATTTATTTTTTTAAAGTTTTTTTTTTTTTTCCTGCCATCAGCTACATAGGAAAAAGATAAACATATAAACTTACTTGTAGCATCTGGTCAAAATCTTGTTTCTCCAAATATGATCTTGTAACAACTCGGCCATCAAAATCTACTTCTGCCTTAAATCTTACTTTACCTAATCCCAGGTCTGTGGCTTTAACATCATGAATTGCCCTGCAATCAGTAACAATGCATACAAATTTACACATACATATGTACATACATACATACATACATATATGCATACATACTCCAATGGCAAAAAGCCCAGAATATCTCCACCAATGATGACTATACACTAAGATTGTTTTGGAGTAGTCACCATAAAGTATCACTGATCATTTTCTAAGGTTAAGTTTTTGCATGTAATGCTATATAACAATGCATATTAACAAATACTATAGTATTTGTATACACATAAGTTACAAAACTGGTAAATTATCGATTCAATTCTAAACTTTTTCTAAAATGCTGCCATAACTTTTTTCCTCATATATTCACTTGCCAGGTTTTTTTTTTTTTTTCCCCCTTTTTCTTTCTTTTTATCGGTACCGGGGATCGAACTCACGACCGCCTGCTTGCAAGGCAGATGCTTATGCCGCTGAGCTAAATCCCCAGCCCCACACTTGCCAGTTTCATAAATACCATTTACAATTCCAGTGCCCTAATATACTACACAAGCATTCTACTGGTCTTCAAACAACTCTATGAAGTCGACCAAGAATGGGATACTGCACAGGATTGACGAGAGAATAGGCTAACATATAAAATACTTATAAAGTGCTATCTTTACAGATACCACAGTCTCAGAGAGGCATAAGTGATTTGTTCAAGATAGTTCAATTAATGAAAAGTAGATGAAGACTCTTCCACACTGCCTCTCTTCAGACATCAAAACTGTTCTGCCTCTTGGGAAGGAAAACAGTTACTAAACTATAACCACTTTTCAACCCTTACCCTAACCCTCAGGAATCAAATTTTTAGCTTGGTATGGCAGCACACACGTATAATCCCAGCACTAGGGAAGGTGAAGCAGGAAGATCACCGAGTTTGAGGCCAGCCTGGGCTATAGTTAGTGAGTCTGTAGCAACATTCTGGTATACTTCAGGTGCAGTTCCTGTTGTTTCTGTCTCCTAGAAATGGCTGATCACTGTGATGCATATTGTAAAAATCAATCAAAGACAGCCAAGTACTCTACCTCTGTACTTTCTCTTTGTAACCTCATAAAAACTTCTCTCCCTAGGTCTTCAGGGTCTGACATTTTGAGGGACAATTGAGTCCCTATCAGTGCCTGTGCAAATTTATTTAAAATAAATTTGCCTCTAAATCCTGGGCGTCATTTCAGTGTTTCTTGTTTGCCATTCCAAGTTCAAAACTAGCCTGAACTACACAGCAAGACCCTGTTTCAAAACAAACAAACAAACAAAATAACATCTTCCCCTTTAAAATAGCTGAGAAATCTTCTCTTTTCAAAGGTGATCATCAAAATATATTTTCTATATAGAGTATGTAAGAAATAACAAAACATTCTGAATCCTGAGAACAGAGTCTACTAGAACAATAAGCTTCAGTGAGACTCCAAATATCATTAAACCATTTCAATGTTCTTGAACAAATTACCAAGTCCAAGTAGTCCAAATAAAGAAGCTGTATCTATCACTATGTAACGTATAAATAAATGGCTGAATACTCATAAAGTTACATATGGTCAAGTTAAAAATGAAACTTGTCCAGACTGGGAAGAGTCTATTTAAAAAAAAAAAAAATCTTTTTTACTTTAGTTATCACAAAGTATTAATATATTTCACTAGCTAACAAATACTTAAGTAGCAAAAGATGAGTATCTTTTTTTTTTTTTGTACTGGGGATTGAACTCACGACCACCTGCAGGACAGGTGCTTATGCCACTGAGCCAGCTCCCTGGGACATGAGTATCTTCTGATACACTTTTTCTTTATACTCTTTATACAGAATTGCAGATAAAAACTATCTGAGAACAAGCAGTTTCTGAGAGGCTCCCAATAATTGATCACTATCTCCTGTATCCTGTGCGTCCTTTCTCCTTGAATGTTAGACTGTACTTTTTTTAAGAGTAGGCAAATTTATTGGGAAAAGGAATGGGGAATAGGAATGTAAAACAAGAATAGTTCCTTAGAGACAGGAGTAGTCCCGACTGGGCTGCTGAAGTTCCTTACTTTTAACCCACAGAATATGGCCAAATGACATAATGTCATTTCCAATGTCTTGCGACTAGTGTGATGCTTTTTCTTGTTCACAATCAATCTCTACTGCTCTGATTAAGCAAGCTATTATCTCAAAGTGGCCCACATAGTATTTAGTTCTGTCAACAAATGTGTAATTCTAGAGGTAGCTCTTTATTGTCTCAGCTGAAAACTTCATTCCAGTTTATGAGAAAGCCTGACGTACACAACCCCTGTAAACAGTGCCTAGATTCCTGACTCAAGGAGCTATTACATAAACGCTATTTAAAGACAATAAGCTTGGACCAATTTGTCACATAGCAATATGTAGATAATACACTTACTTAAAAATTGCTATGAACTTTCTAGATGATTAGCACTTATTTTTTCCAACAATTTAACTCATGAATCTTCATTTTTGCAGAAAAGTCTGGATTTGCTTGTCTTTCAGTTTAGTTCTTTTTTAGGCTTTAATTGTAAGCAAAAGGTGGAGATATTAATACCCTACTCCCAATAATGGGCAGAATAACAAGGTAGAAAGATCAACAGGAAAAGTAAAGTTTTAAACACTACAGCTAAGTCTAATAAACATCTATAGAACACTCCACACACCAGAAGATATTTCTCCTTTTCTTTTTTTGTTCCTTTTTAATTAGTATATATTTGAAATATATAATATACTTATCATAGAGAATTGGTAAATACACATATCACATCTTAACCCCTTTTGCTTCCTCTTCTTCTACTGTACTCCGCATCTACCACTATTACTGGATGGATAAACAAAGTGTGGTATATGGGGTACCACAGAAAAATATGGTGAATGTTTAAATTTTAAAAACTACAGTAAAACACATGTTGCCATTAACTCTCCTGAAAGCATTCTCCCTTATTTTGAAGACACCTATCCTATTTTCTTGCCACTTTCTTTTGGTTTACTTGGGGTTTGGGGGTTTTGCTTGTTTTTATTTGGAGTCAGGGTCTCACTATGTATTTCAGGCTGGCCTGGTCACTATGTAGCCCAAGCTGACCTGGAACTTCCGGTGATCCTCCCGCCTCTTGCCACTTTCTGAAGCATTTCTGAAGTCTTCTGCATCTGTGGTTGCTCTTCAACCTTCCTCAATGCCCTGAATCAATTCAAACTGTTTATCTTTTATGGTTGTTTGACTTTGGGGAACAGTAAGAAGTTACAGTGTCAGATCTGGTGAATAAGTGCATGAGGACATACACCATAAGGTTTCTATACAACACCTGGCAGCGGCATTTCTGTATTTTTGATCATATCATATAAAGACACAAAAAGACTTGTAGAAGGGTTTCAGAATACAGCAAGAACAATGGGATAGCTGGGTGTGGTGGCTTATTCTTATAATCCCAGCATTCAGGAGGCTGAAGCAGGAGGATTTCCATGAGTTCCAGGCCAGCCTGAGCTACACAGTGAGTTCAGTCAGTCTGAACTACATAGAGACCCTGTCCCCCAAAAAACAAATAAAAACGGAACAATGGGATAAGTGTGTTCAAAGTGAAAGCGAGTATTTTGAGGGAATTAATGGCAATGTGTGTTTTACTGTAATAAATTTTTTTTTTTTTGTCTTTTTCCTTTTTATCGGTACCGGGGATCGAACTCACGACTGCCTGCTTGAAAGGCAGGCACTTATGCTGCTGAGCTAAATCCCCAGCCCAACTGTAATAAATTTTTAAAATTAAAACATTCACTGTGGTTTTCAATCTTTCCATGTCTGTATAATGGCATATTATCCATAAAAAATGAAAGCCTAATACCTGTGGCAACATGAATGAGTCTGGGAGATATTATGTTAAGTAAAATAAGTCAGACACAGAAAGACAAATAGTGCATTGTCATGTGGAAGTTAAAAAAGTCAATTCCATTAAGCAGAGTACTGTATAATATTGATTACTAACGCCTCGGAAAGGGTATAGAAAGAGGATAGTTTAACGGATACCAGTTGTAGTTGATTACATATTTCTTTTTTTTTTTTTAAATTTTATTTAAGGAGAAAAGAAGAAAAAAAACAGTGAAAGGGTACAAGTTATACAGATTTACAGAGGAAAAAAAATGAACAGTAGGAAATCACTAGTTAATGGATTACATATTGCCATCTTAGAATTAATTGTTCAAGTCACAAAATTAAAGCTTGTAGAGTGGACATTCCAACAATGATACTGCAAACAGTTCTGTTCAATGATCCAATAAAACTCAGTGATATCATTTTCTATCTTATACACTTAAATATACATGCAGTTATATAGTTTAGAGCACTTTCTTTTCCTCTCTTTTGTACAATGACTATTACACATTTTGGGTTTCATTGCTCCCACAATTCTTATTGCTTTTTTGGAAGACAGTAAAACCAAATGTGACATAACAGAACAGAATTGGTCAAGTCAAAAGGGTGGACATAATAGATAATGTACAAACATAATACAAGGTGATCAACAATGGTTACCATAATGCCTCCCGCTATCTCTAGTAGAATCGCCTATATCATTAGTTATAATACAATTGAACAAAACAGTAAGGAACAAAACCGACAAAACCAAAACATTGGAGACATTGTAGGTCTTCAAAAGTAGATAAAAGTCAACGAGAATGGGCGTTATAATGAATCTCATTATCTTCACATCTGATGCCTAAACTTTCGAACCTGATACTATCCAGCAAAACAGAATAGGGGAACATCAGACAAAAACAAGATGGTGAGAGTAATACAGGGCTTCCAATCGAGATAATAGAAAGTCAAAGTGGGTTACTATAATATATCCTGCTATTTTTTCCCCTTTAATTAAACGGATAAAAATAAAAAAGTAAATAATGGAGTGGAGATTGAGATAAAAGAGGGCATAACAGCGAAACAGCGCAGATTAAAACATAACCATTTAAGCAGAATAGTGTTTCACCACCAGATAATTCCGACCCAAAAGTAGTTACCATATTGACTCTTTCCTTGAAGTCCTTGAGTACAACTTCGTATACTGTAGCATTAAGTATATCAAAACAATGTAAAACCATTTAAGAGAATGACAGCATTACAGAGTATTTAGAATCGACTAACAGAAAATGAACAATGGTTTCTGTATAATCTCCTCGTCTTTAAAAGGTTTTTGCTTATACTATTGTACATAATAAAATCCAATAAGATACAACCTATTTAGACCATTGGAGACAGAAGAACAAAAGCTAGATGAGACTTCAAAACAAGATGATACTAAATCAGTATTACCTATTAAGATGTCATTTTCTCCAAAATAGCTGTTCCTATCATCCAATCTTCTCTGTCTCATTTCTGTTGAGCTCTTTTTCTGTCAGTAGCTGTCAGTTTGTCTTCTTCATTTTGTTCTCTGCTCCATTCGTTGTGGCCTCCCCGCCACTACTTCTGGGTTCTTTGTATTTTTCTTTTTTTAGAATATCCTGCAATACTTTCTGTAGAGTTGAATTGGTGGTTGCAAATTCCTCTTTATCCTGGAAACACCTTGTTTTTCCATCAATTTCCAGGGACAGTTGTGCAGGATATCTCAATCTTGGCTGGAGATTATTATCTTTCAAAGCTTGAATTATTTCCCCCCATGCTCTTCGTGATTTGATGGTTTGTGCAGAGAAATCTGCTGTAATTCTGATGGGTGTTCCCTTGTAAGTGGTCTGTTTCTTGTCTCTGGCAGCTTTTAATATTCTGTTCTTGTATTGAATTTCTGGAATTTTTATTATTATATGCCTGGGTGTTTCTCTGTTTGGGTTGTAGGTAGCTGGGGTCCTGTATGCCTCGTACATCTGAGTATCTTTACCTTTTGCTAAATTAGGAAAATTCTCCTGGATTATTTCTGTGAGTAGCTTTCGTAGTTCACTTGTTTGTGTCCCTACTTCTTCTTTTATGTTCTTAATCCTTAAGTTATGGCTCCTCTTATCATCTTCTTGTCTTTGTATTATTGCTGTTTGTTTCTTTGTTATTTTTAAGAAGTTTTTCATTTCATTCTCCCATATTACAAGTCTGCCCTCCAGATCAGATAGTCTGTCCTTAGTTTCTTTCAAGCTGTTATGCCAGTCTTGGATAGACTTCTTAGTTTCTTGATAGTCCCTTTGAACCTGCTTCACGTACTCTACGCTTTCTCTGTTTTCTCCATCAAACGATTCTCCCCTCTTTTTCTGTTCTTTCATTCCACCATCTGTTTTTTCCTGGGTGGTGCTTAGCATTTCTCTAACTATTCTGCATACTTCTAGCTTCAGGTCGTTGATAACTTCATTCCTGAATTGGTCTATGAGGCTCTCTATATGGCACTTTATGTCTATTGGTGCGGTGTCCGCTATTGCCTGTTTCTCAGAATTGGGGGCCGAGGAGCCTTTCTTGTTGCTGCCTCTTCCCATATTCTCTGTTTCTTATATATGCAAGCTTATATGAGAGGCCCAGCTTCTCTCCCTGTCAGCCACAGCCTGATCGAATTGTGCTGGTTAGGTGTTCCCACTCACCGTTGCGCACCAGGCAGCCTATGCGGGGCCCGCCCCTCCCAGCCACCGTCAGGCTCTGGGATCTGGGTTGGGCTAGCCTACTGGGTCCGCTGGCAGCGTCACGCAGGCCCGGCACTTTTCATCAATCCCGCCCGAGAGGGGGATGTGTGGCTGGAGTCTCCACCGCGCCCTGCTCCCGCAGGACTGCTCCGGCCCAGAAAGTCCTCTGCTGGAGTCAAACTGTGGTGGAGTGTCAGTTTCTCTCACTCACCTCACCACTAGTCGGTGCACACCTCCCTGCCCGTCCTGTTTTCGACTCCGTTCCCAGATTGCCGTTCTCAGAGCTTCCGCGTCTCTCTCCTTGCCGAGCTGATGTAGAGGCAGCCAGCCGCTGCGGCGGGAAACCCAAATCGCGGCTTCCAATGGCGGGGAGTTCAGCCTCCACACCGAGGCTTTTCTGTTCCTGTTTTAGCACCAGGACTGCATTCCAAGTTGGTTTCTCTCAGCCCAGTTCGTTCCTGAGTCAGCAGAGCATATCTCCACCAGCTTATTCTCTTTAGTCCGCACCATTCCTGGCTTCTGAGCCGAGCCTTTCAGAGAGCCTCCGGTAGTTGCTGTTATCTGTCCGCCATGTTCTCCCAGAAGTCTGATTACATATTTCAAAATAACTATTAAAAAGGATTCTGAATGCTCCTACTCCAAAGAAATGAATGTTTGAGGTGATTGGTATGCCAGTTACCCTGTTCTAATCATTACAAATTATATAGATATAAGGAAATATCACACTATAGCTCATAAATATGTATAATTATTATTCACAACTAAAAATAAAAATGCATATATTAAAAATTAAATTTAAAAAGAAATTAGAAGTATTTTGGATCAATGTGATATAATATACCAAAATATCTACAATGTAAAGAAAGTAGTACCTAAAGGAAAATTTATCTGTACAAGTCTATGAAATTAAATACTTAGTATGTGAGTATGTACATCCCCAAGTACTTGGGTGGCTGAGGCAGTGCAATCACTTGAGCCCAAATGAAACCTGTATAGATAACATGGTGAAATTCATCTCAAAAAATTGAAAACAAAACAGCAATAAAACTTAACCAACCATTTTAAGGCACTAGAGAAAGAAAACCAAATTAAAGCTAAAGCAACCAGAAGGAAGAAAATAATAGAATAATGTAGAAATTAATGAGAAAAAAGAAAAATAGGGAAAACTGATTAAACCAAATGCTGGTTTTTGAAAACAAAACTGACACTCTTTAGCATTTTAAATGCTCAAGACAGACTCAAAATTAGTATCAGCAACAGAAGATGAGATATTGTGTGGAACAGTTCGTATTGTCTATTTCTTGTTGAGTCAGTTTTGGTAGTTTTTTTCTTGGGACATGCTCATTTACTTCTATATTATTAAGTGTTTTTTTGAAATCTTTTTTGTTTATTTGAGGTTGGTCGACAACAAATAATGGAATTAGGAATTAACCCCACACAGAAAAGCCATGTTCAGATGGTTCGCTACTAAGTTCTGCTAATGAAAGAATATAAAATTCTTCACAAACTCTTCAAAAAACAACCAAAAGAGAAACCAAAACTTTCCTACTCACTCTGTGAGGCCAATTACCAAAAAGACATTAAGATGGATTGTCTCACATCAAGGCACAGTCTGATTTTAACAATGCCTGACTTCTAACTTTGATCCAACCAAATGATTACCTTTTAAGATTAAACTTTTCAAGACAGAATGCCACCCATAGTAGCACATGCCTGTAATCCTGAAACTCTAGGAAAGTGGTGCAGGATGGGCCACTTCAGTGATTTAGCAAGACCCACTCTCAAAAATCAAAAAGGAAGTCAGGTATGGTGATACACACCTGTAATCCCAGTACTCAGGAGGCTGAGGTAGGAGGATCTTTGCAAGCTCAAGACCAGTCTGGGCTGGCTATAAAGTGAGCTCAAGAGAAACTTAAACTGCATAGTGAGACCCTATCTCAAAAAGAATAAGAAAAAAAAAATTAAAAGGATCCACATATAGCTCAGTGCAAAGGCCCTGGCACTCTCTGGCACTGCAAAAAGAAAAGTAAACATATAAAACAGAGACTATAAATCTAATCACTAATGTTTAACTAATCCAGGTCATTTTCTAAAGACTAAACTTTTAAAAGATTTCAATTATAACACAGAACAAACATATGGATGTAGTCTGAATATAGTTTGTCTCCATCAAAAATTCTGTTGAGCTTTATACCTCAATATAGTAGAGTTAGGGTTTTTTTTTTTTGTCTTTTTCCTTTTTATCGGTACCAGGGATCGAACTCACGACTGCCTGCTTGCAAGGCAGGCGCTTATGCCGCTCAGCTAAATCCCCAGCCCAGAGTTAGAGTTTTGTAACAGATGTTTGGCTGATGGGTGGGGCTTTCATGAATACATTAATGCCATCGCCTATGAGTTTGAGCTCTCAGAGGACTTCAATAGTTGCCATAAGAACTAGCTGTTAAGAAGCAAGGTTGTCCCTCGTGTTCTGTCTCTTCCACATGCACCTGCTTGACCCCTCTTCCCACTAGAGCTGATGCAGCATCAAGCCCTTACCAGATGCGGCACAATGATTGTGAACTTCCTGGTCTCCAGAGATATGAACTAAAGAAAGTCCTTTCAAGTAGCAACAGAAAACAGACTAAGACAAATACATTTTTACTTAAAGTTTGAAAATGACTTTATATGTAAGAAAAGCAATATTTAGTGGATCATTGCAGTGTGGTTTTTTTAAAAGTCTGTAGTGCTGGGGATTGAACCCAGGATTTCATGCATACTAGGCAAGTGCTCTACCACTGGGCTCCTAAGTTTTCAGATCCTTACCTTACACAATTTAAAAGGTAAGGGCTGAAGGTGTAGCTCAGTGGCTGAGAACTCGCCTAATGTGTGAGGCCCTAGGTTCAATACCCAAAATTGGGGGCGGGGGAGTAAGGAAACAATTCAATTAAATAAACTAGAAGTCTCTTTTCAAAAGAAATACAAATAAATTTCATTCACTTTGGTAATCATTTCCCCATAAATAACATTGTCTTTTACTTTTAATATATTAAATTTGTAACTGCATTATAAATATAGGGCAAACATAAATGTAATGATTCAATGTTAAGTGGTTTCACATTAAGGAGCCAATTGCTTTATATATTTCTATTCTTATATTATCTCATTATATCTTTCTCTAAAAGTTATACACAGAATTTAAAAACTAACTTATAACAGGTTTCCTAAATGTACTTGCTTTTTTCTACGATATTGATTCTGAAAAGTAATATGTTTAAAAAGTCCCAGAGGCTAGGAATCCAAAACTTCCTCTGAAAACCACCCCATCATGTATGTTTTTCATGTTTTTGTAGGCCCTACGAACATCACCAGAGTAAGGCTGACCTTACTGATGGGTCGTTCTCCAGCAGTTCAGTAAGCCGTTGTACTTGCTCTGGTTGGATGGACCGTCCTAAGAGTGCTTCTGTGTTAGTGTAGATCAGGAATGCTGAGACCACACCTAATAAGGTGCCCACACCCAAAGAACCAAGGCTGTCATACAACGGGTTGCCTAAACAAAGCATGTAGAAAAGCAGTGAATAAATAATTACTTTAATAAAAACTCCACTTTTAAAAGCAAATAACCAGAATTAGTAAGTCAGCGGACTCAAAATTCATTCCTAACTCTTTGAGTTACTTCCTATAATGACTCTTAATAGTTTTACCACATGTACTTCAAAACAAGGACAGGAAAACTTCTTTATATTACATGAAAGCATTATGTAACTTAACTATTTATATCTGTTTCTTGAATCTAGTCATGGCATAGTAAGAACTCAAGAGCATTTTCATATTACAGATACAATTTTCATATTTATAAAACACTGCATTAAAGAATCAACTTATTTTAGATTTATCAGTAGCACTTTTCTACCCCAGATTAGCAGAATAACTGTGAAGTCAAAATCTTAATGGGGCTGGGGATTTAGCTCAGCGGCATAAGCACTTGCCTTGCAAGCATGTGGTTGTGAGTTTTATCCCCGATACCGATTTAAAAAAAAAAAATCTTAAGTAACAATGTTTTGTGTCTCATTACTACCAACATGTTGCAAGAGAATTAAACTCTACAGAAAATGATATGGCTGACTCTTCTCACTGGACCAAAGATGACACCTAACTAATTACCAATTCTAGACACAAAGCAGAGAATTCATTACATGAAATGAAAGCCTAAAGGTAGTAGTGTATTAATGTGGCTTCTGGATCATCAGTATCAGTACCACCTGAGAAGGAAGTACAAACACAAATTCTCAGACTTCATCTCAGAACTTCTGATTCCAAAATTCTAAAGGTGAGGTTCACCACTAAGTGTTTCACCAAGTCCTCTAGGTGATTCTGGTTTTAAAATCTGCCTTAGGTTGTTAGGGCTTATGCTTTTTCTGAAAGCATTTCTCAGAACTGCTGAGAAATGCTAATTTACTATTCAGGAGCATTCAGGTAATATCTATATTACAGACATTAATGAATATTATATTTTAAATATGTAAGTTTTATACACATGGCTTTTATGATAAATCTTTTTATTTTGAAAATGTCATCAAAATTACCTTAACTTGAAATGCTTGATAAAATGTTTATTTTGCTAAAACTCTCAATGTATATGATGATTTTATTGATGTATAGTCAAAATATAACACTAAGTCAGGTATAGTGGCACATGCTTATAATCTCAATACTCTGGAGGCTGAGGCAAGAGGATCAGAAGCTCCAGCTCAGCCTGGGTAGCAGCAACTTGGCAAGACCCTACCACAGAAACATTTTTAAAAGACTGGAGACATAGATTAGATTGAAGGCCTTATGTTCAGATCCAGTACTACAAAAACAAAACTAAAAACGCTACTAAAAAGTAAACTCACTTATCTCTATTGTCTGACTTACTTGTAAAGTATTATCAATTACTAGGTTTAATTTAAAATTAAATACTGCTCTTTAGAGAGCTAAATTAAAAGACTTTATGTCTAATAAAGAGCTTAAATTAAAGGTAAACCAGAAAAATAATCAATATTTTTAGGGTTATTTCAGATCACAGTGTACACCGGAGAACACTGCTTCATTCTTAAAATGTACATTCAAGATGAGAAGGAATAATTTGTAGTTCAGACTATTTGAAAAAACACTACAGAACTGTGGAAACTATCTGAAATTATTTTAAATAGTTAAAATCAAATGGAGAAGAAGGGAAGTGTAATAGTTCCAAAAGAACTTCAACTTCATAAATTGAGATTTTTTCAAACTAAATGGTTATTATGTTTTGTATTATACTGGTCCTCAAAAGACCTGACTAGCTATAAAAATGAGGATAGAACCAAACTCAGTTAAATAAATATAGAAGTAGTAGGAATTATTGGCACTAGGAGCAAAAAAAAGACAAATGAATAACAGCCACAATATATTTTTACTGAGAACTTGAGTTTGTTAAAGTTTTCTCATTATCTTAATCAACTTCTAAAATTATATTCATATTATCCAAACTTTTATTGGTAGAGTTTAAAGATAAGAGTGATTACAAAAAGATTTACAGTATAATATAAATCTCTTACTTTACTTATTTCTAATGCAGAGAAATTTTTTTTCTTTTTTATGGTTGCTTTTGCTTTTGTTTTTTTGAAACAGGGCCTTGCTAGGTGTTCTAAGCTGGCCTCAAACTTGTGGTGACCCTGTTGCCTCAGCCTCCAAAGTGCTAGAATTACAGGCATGTGCTATCATGCCCAGAAATTTCTATTCAGAGAAAATCTAATGTTTTTAGTAAGTAAATATTTCATATAAATTAATGATTACTATGAAATTAATATTTAATAATCTATTGGCTTAAAATTATTCAATAAGAACAAAATTCCTATATATAATTATGTAACATAATAGATCACTTATAATTTAAGAATAATTTACCTGTTATAGATGTAAGGCCCATGCAAGTGGCTGCTATTGTCACTCCCAAGACTGCTGCAGTATCCTCCAATAATATAACATTGGTGCTAGGATCACGACTTTCCATTACTTAATCATGGAGGAAAAGGGGAAGAAGAGAAAATTTCTGAAATGTTAACTTGATACTATCACAGGATATTTTGGTAATTATCCAATTAAAACTAAACTAGAAATTTGTAAGCATTTTTTTTTTTTTTTGTCTTTTTCCTTTTTATCGGTACCGGGAATTGAACTCACGACTGCCTGCTTTCAAGGCAGGCACTTATGCCACTGAGCTAAACCCCCAGCCCCTAAACTAGAAATTTAAACAAAAATGTAGGACAGATCACAATTTTTAAAACCCTGTTTAACATAAATATAGTTTATTGGCTTAAGTGTCAAGTTACTTTTTCAAGTTTTATAATCATACAAAGTAATACAATAGTTCACTTAGTCAAACCTAAATAGAAAGTATCCACATGCTCAGATTGCATTATATTTCTCTTTTAAAAAGTGTTGCTTTATTAAGAGACACACAAGGAAGACACTGAAATACATGCTTTGCATTTATCTATCAGGAACACAGCAACAGTATGAAGTTATTTTAAATAACTAAAAGGAGAAATTAATCTGGCTTCTAAAATACATACCATACTTATAAAATGACATTCCTTTGGCCCGAGCACTCCTGCGAAGTTCATTTATGGCAACAAGAAGTGTTGCTGAAAGAAAGGTGTTTATATCAGCAAGAAAGAAATTTCATACTCCCAAACTTTAAGATGGGATCACAAAAGATAAATGCACATAATATTTTAATGCCATGTTGGAAATATGGAAAAGTTCTAGTCATTATCAACTCTAATTCATCATAATAAAATGAATCTCGTATTTCTCAACCATAGTCATGAAATAAAATTACTATAATGACAATCTTAACTTATTGAACAGTCACTATTTGTTTTTCTTTTTTTTGTCTTTTTGAGACAGGGTCTCTCTATGCAGTTCAGGCTGGCCTTGAGCTCATCTTGTAGCCCAGGCTGGTCTCGAACTTGCAAGGATCCTCCTGCCTCAGCCTCCCGAGTGCTGGGATTATAGGCATGAGCCACCACGCCTGGCGAACAGTCACTATTTGGAAGGCATCACACTCAACACAATCACTTTTGATCTTCTCAACCTTTTGAAGCAAGTTGTACAATCATTATTGTACAGTCTGTCAAACAGGAAGGACAAGTAAACACACACAATTATGATCTGTCAATTAAAATCATATTAATTTTTAAAATAGGGTGAAGGTTGTACCATTCATAGGAAATGACAATGTTTCAGGGTAAATACGCTATGAGTACAGCAGTGAATTAGGCAGTTTCATTTGATATTGTCACAGTCATGCCAAAGGTACGTATTTCAGGAATTCTTAAGTAGGATTATGGCAAAACAAGACAGCCTCCACTGTTGATTAACACTACTAAAACCTGATTTTTAAAAACCGGTATAGTTTTTATGATATTCTGATACATTTTATTATATTCTGATATATTTCTGATGTACTGAGCATTATATGATATTAAGGATAAAACATAGTTTTCTCCTTCCTTCTCTATTATAGGACATCCATAGTACATTATACAAAAACTTCCTAAAAGTAGGCAAAGCTTAGATTCCTATTGCATAGTTTCATTAATCAACCCAATCAAGTAAAACTATAATAATGGACTGCTGAATATATATCACTAAATTGAGAACAAGGAGCACTTTGAGGCAGTACATACCTCCTTCAGATACCAACGATCCTGCTAAAATACAGTATGCCTAGAAAATAAATTAAAACAGAATAATTTAAGTATTTCACTAAAGAATCATAATTATCCATGTATAAAAATTATAATGTACAGAAATAGAAACAAATTCAAACCCAAATTAAACAATAAGGATCTTGGTTGCAAACAGTTCAAAAGAGGACAATGAGATATGGGCACAATTATTTGAAATCAGGGTTATGGATAACAGACAGAGTAAAGTTCCACAGTCACACACAAGTAATTTCTAGATTTTGATTCTCAGTATGAAGAGAATCCTGATTCAAAGTGGAAGCAGTCATAAACAGTAACCAATTATTTCTTTTGGTATCACCACTTCTTCTAGTTACAAGACTCTCTTCAATTAAAGATGGCAAAAGAAGTTTTAGTCTAAGATACATAAAAGAGTTAACAGTGACACAAATTTATTAAAAATTTTAATGAAACTGAAACCAAACATTTGTAGAATTTTCAACACACCTTTTAGAAAACCTAGGTTATCCTGAAACAAGTTTGAAAGTTTCAAACCTAATATGTGCACTCTTAAAATTTTGCTCTGGAAACAAAGGTCTCCAAAGTTAAGTGATGTGACTGCATACACAGAAATGAGTCTAAAATAAGAACTGGAGTACAGGCTTTCCAGTTTTGGTTGGGTTCTTTCCACTAAATCTTACTACCAACCTGAAATTAATGACTGATAATGTAATTAACATAGTAGCTAAACTTCCCAGTAACTCTTCATGTCCTTTTACTTCATGCCTGATTTAAGACACACTTATTACCCAACAAAATTTAATCTCTAACTTCAGAAACTGCTCTGCTTCTATAAAGTGATACTGTACAGATTAGATGAATGCCAGGGCAATGAGGTACTGTATCAAGCCAACTTTTCAGATGGAGGAAATACAAGTTTATTCATTTTAGTTATATGAAATGTATTACTGTAAGAAACTGACCAATAAAAACTGCAGGAAACTAATCAATGGCAAATGTAAATAAACTACTTTTAATAGCCCTGTTCTTGCATCACTGGTGTGATATAGTAGTATACTAAATCAAGACTAGATTCACTCAGGTGTGGGGGCACATGCCTATAATCCCAGCACTCAGGAGACTAAGGCAGGAGGATCACTGTGAATGTGAGGCCAATCTTGGCTACACAGTGAATTCAAGGTGAGCCTGAACTGTACAACGAGATCTTGTCTTGATGACCCAAAATACACAACAAAATAGGTTTCAGTTATCCCCACATTCCAAAATGAGGTGCCAGAAGATATTCAGGCCTTGCACAGAAGGTGGCCTCAGCCTGGGCTTCTCATTGCACTGTACACTGCATACAAACCATTTTAGAAGAGCTGGAAGCAAGGAGACTAAAACAAATGCCAAACATGTTTAGAATTACACCATGAGTTGCAGAAGCTTAGGGGGAGTGCTACAGGACCAGTTTATGCTTGTCCCGGGAGCCACTCAGAATGGCCAAGGAGTATAATCTCTAATAAGTGATCAAGGAAGGAAAAGACCACTTTAAACATCTATAATGGTCAGAGGAGAACATGGTACAAAATAAGAATGCTATGCTAGTACTTATCGGCCCCCGCGCCAGTGCTGGGCACTGAGCACCTGAGGACAGAAGCCTCAGGTAGGGCAACACAGAAGGTGACTCTCTTTTCCTCTTCCCATTTCCACCAGGCTTCCAACCTGAAGGAGGCTTCAGATCATAAAGCAAATCCTTTAAATTTAAATGGAGTTTCAACTTAAAACTAGTAACAAGCAACTGGATACTGTGTTTTAATTACTGATATGAGACTATTTTGGCACTAAACTAAATAGGGGTCTTTTGTTCAGCAATATTTAAACAACTTAATAGAACTGCCCAGGATTTTAATCAAGGAGGGTGGGCTTAATTGTACCTGCAGATCTTCTTGTGCAATATCACCAAACAAATGAATCTAGAGATCATGCCCAGTCATGTTCTAAAAACCACAACTCTATAGTGTACAGTCAAGCTTTGTCATTCCTGTTCAATTAATTTTTTGGTTCACATTAAAAATAACTTCTTCGCCAAAATCTCATGTCAACAAGGTAGGGCTTTTGGAAGATGACTGGCTCATCAGGGTGCCAATATCAATAATGACTCAATCCACTGATAAGTTTGTAGTTGAACAGGTCATAAGAGATGGGGCCCAGTTGGAGAAAGTTGTCACTCGGTGCACGCCTTTGAAAAGTATATCCTGTCTCCAGCCTCTTCTCGTTTTTCAGACCTTTCCCCCTTCTCTTTATTTAATGGCAGCCTCTCTGCTTTCCTTGTTATGCCCTTTTACCAGAATATGTCTACCTTGAAACCAGTTAACCATTTACTGAAACCTTTAAAAGCATGAGCTAAAATGAATGATCTTGTTTAAGTTTTGTATGTCAGGAAATTGTCCTAGAAATAAAAAGATGACTAACACAATACTATTCTATGAAAGGCATTCTATGGTGCTCAATCACTATGTCATACTACTTCCAAAATCAGGGAAAGAGTGAGGGAAAAAAAAAAAAAGGATTACCCATAAAAGGGATTCCATTGGTTCAGGATGAAGCAATCCCATAATTCCATGGTACCAAGAGAGTCCTGCACCCATCATAAAAATACCAACACCGCTAATTAGTGAAGAAATATAGCGCATATTTGAAAATCCATACCTAAAAAATTGAAAAATTAAAATTTACAAAAATAAAAAAGTTTTCTTTCGAAGTATGTGCTTAATAGGTGTATGAAAAGCAAATGTTACTTAATTCAGGCATATTCTAATCCCTTTTCCATGTACCCTAAAAAGATACTATATTATTATATTTCATATCTACTGGTAAAATTTCTCTTTTAAAAATACTTAAATATAACACTTCAATTTCTTTGTACTTCAGTTTCTAATTAAATATTCTGGTTTGTTTAGCCAAACTATGATTTATCTTATCTATAACTTGATACTTAAGCTAGCAGTTTAGTATATATAATCTATTGCTGGTTCTAAATAGTTTAGCCGATAGCAACTATAAACTCACTAGAAACAAGAGCCTCAGTTTTCTGATGTTTTTTCAGTTAATTTTTTAAAATCTCTGCTTTTCTAAGCATCTTTGGTGAAAATGTACATTAATTTTTATCATTTAAGTACCAATACAATATTGTTAAGAGAGTTAAAAATATATGACACACTAGAAGAGAAAAAAATCACTCATTCTTAAAAGTAATTCTTGGGAACTTTACTCTCAAACTTTATTGCACCTGTCTGGCATAGATGCAAATTCAAGTAAGAATGCTTAATCAAAATTTCTCTTTGAATTTTTTTTGTGAAGATGTAATCTCAGCATAGAGAATTCCCAATTTATATATATGACAATGTTTCATCAGTTTTGATTTAGAAAATTTTACTTTCTGTTAAAGTTTACACAAATGAATATGGGATATATATTTATTTAAAGTAAATTAAGATCTAATTAAGTGTCATTACTTTCACTTTACAAGTTTTTGAGAAATCTGCAGGTTCTTATTAAAGAATTTTATCATGTAGATCTGCATGGTCCAATATACTAAGTCACTAACCACATGTAGCAATTTAAATTTATGAAAAATAAATATAGTTTAAAATTTAGTCATAGTAGCCATGTTTCCAGTGCTCAACAGCCACGTGTAGCCAGTGACTACAATATTGGACATATATAAAATATTTTCATTATTAAAGAAAATTCTATTGGGCAGCAATAAGGTAGATTACTGAAAATACCTTAACAAAAAAATCTTTACAACCTGAACATAAAAAATTTCACCCTCTGATTTAAAAGTTGTGGTAGATAAAACTGGTCAGGAAAACTATTTTTTCCTTAGAATAGTAAAACACTGTAATGATGTGTAATTATCAGTCTAGAGAATTAGGTATTTCCTATAATATTAGCTTACTGATAATTATAAGTCAAAATACAATATACTTATTTATAGCAGGAGAGGCTTGCTATCAAGAAATGTATTTACAAAACAGAAATGAGCAAATTCACAGAAGTAAAAATGTATCTTTTGCTTAAGAATAATCAAATTCTACTAATGAAGCTAGTTAAAATAATAATGCGTATAAGTTCAAACATTTTAGATGATTGTCAGAAAATACAGCAAAAACTCTATCAAAGAATTAACCTGATTCAAAATGATATATTCCAAAAGTACATTCACTTTACAAATACATGTTTTGAAACATAAATATCATTTCTGAATCATAATAAAAGATTTAAGTATACATTTAATAAAAGTTATCAGCAAAATTTTAGATTTGATAACTCATTAGTCTAAATCTGAAACATATTTCCCTGGATCAAAATAAAAACAACTTTAAGACTAAAATATATGCTTTGTTATTATCCAATATGGATAAGACAAGATCTCTATGCTGTGTTACAAAGCAAAAAGTAATTTAAACTCCATTTTCAAATTATACCTTGAATTTATTTTGACACAGTGGTGAGTCCTGCATTTTAGACACTACAGTGAAAAAAAAAAAAAAAAAGACCAAATCTTTCACCAACTGCAGATATATAAATTGCAGGAGATTTCTGAAATTCAGTTGCTTTTATTTCAATGACTTGTTGCTAAAACAAACAAAAACAAAGGCAATAATATCCTTACGGATGAGTAGGATCTGGTGTTTGAACAGATTTACTGATGCCCAATGCTAGTAAGCCCTATGGAGAAGAAGGAAAATGGTAAATTATCATTAGTAACATGGAGAGTATAATATGGTTAAGCCCATTTAGAAGGAGCAAGCTAATAACAAATCTCTCTCTGTCTCTCACACACACAAACACACACACACACACACACACACACACACACACACACACACACACACAGAGGTTAATGCATATGTCAGATAGGTTTGCAAAGTACTGCGCAGTTACTACCTAACGGCTAAGAAGCCTTACCAGGGCTTCCGGCTCCATGATCAAACCTTCCTTTCCTGGCATTCCTTTTGCATCACACAATCACACCGCTGCTTACATGTTACCTCAGCTGTTTAATGTGTGTAGAACTGGCTTACAAGACACTAAAAGGGCTGTTTCTCCACTCACTCAAGACATTGCAAACCCAGGTTCATGACAAATTCATGTGAGTCAATGTTAAACATTAATATAGATGATTTTAAAAGAAACAGTTTTCAAAATGACAGAAATTCAACTTCCATCTATTTCATAAGACCCAGGAAAAATCTTCATCAAAGTCTTTTTGAAAACTCTAAGACAGTCTCCACTCAAGATCTCTCAAAGCAGCTGAATGTGGGGGCTAATGCTTGTAATTACAGTAATCTGAAAGGCTAAGGCAAGAGGACCAAAAGTCTGGGCCCTGTCCAGACAACTTAGCAAGATACTCAAAATAAAACTTAAAAACAGAAAGAATCAACATGTTATACACATGTATCCACTCCCTAAGATGAATGTACACTTTATGTACTGCAAACACACACTAATAAAGTAAAACTTTAAAAAAAAAGCAGGGTGGGAGAAGAGCTCAGGGCAAAAGTCCTCAGAAGGATGCCCAAAACAACAAAAATAACTGGTCAAAGTATCTGATACCAGTCTCAAGCTTTTATTTACCTCATATTGCATTAAATTCTTTTCAAAAATTCATTTTTTAAAAACAAAATTATCAGGGAATTGTAAAGAAATGTAAATGGTATGGGAAAGTGGATAAACCAAGAATCTACAGTATATTCAGACTGTCTATATAGCTTTAGTGCTACTTTTTGTGCCAGATTTCAGAAAGGTGGTAATAAGCATGCTTAAAAATATGATCACAATCTAGGACATTTCTGACATACAGACAGATGAACAGACAGCGCAGCTCAAAAAGCCTGATAGATCATTTCAGTAAATTCAACTCATTCTCACCAAACGTCAGCAATTAAAGTAGATGACTGAATTTTATCACAGCAATATTTAGTCTTTGAGATGTATTTTGAAGTAAATTCCGTTTTATCTTTAAATCTTAAAAAAATTAAGCCTTTCAGAAAATGAAGCCACAAGATTAGTCTCACGCTACTGAAAACATTAACCCTAATATTACTATCAAATCAGTAATAGACATTTCCATATAAAAAATTTTGTTTTTGAGGTACAATTCACAAATGATGAAATGCATCAATTCTGAATAGACAGTTTTTGTTGCTGCTGTGTTTTACAGCATTGGGAGTTAAATTCAGGACCTTCCCATTGAGCTATATCCCAATGCCCTTTTTTAAATTTTGTGACAGTATCTCAGCTATTCTGGTAGGTTGCCCAGGCCAGGCTTGAAGTTGTGATTCTCCTGCTTCAGCCTCTTCAGAGTGCTGGTATTATAGGTATGTGCTACCGTACCTGACACCAAACATACAGATTCTCAAGTTTTAACAAATGCATGTAACCCACAACATATTTTTATCCAGACAGAAGCTTTCCATCAGCCCAAAAATTTCCTTTGTCCCTTTTTAAAATGTCCTTTATCAGAAGCAATTTTCTGATCTTCTTTAAATAAAAGATTAAAGTTAAAATTCTAAAGAAGTATTTTTCTGTTCACCTTCTTTCAGTACATGCATGTTACTAACTGAAAAACAACTCATTCTTTTTTATGTCAGATAAGATTTCACTGAATGATTATAACACAACTTGTTTATCCACTCCACTGTTAATGGGCAGTGATGATGGGTTTATTTGACTTTCCTGGTCATTCTAAGTAAAGTTCTTACTCAAGTCTTTTGTTGTCATTCATTCCATTTCTCTATCAAACGCTTAGGAGTAAAGTTGCTGGGTCACAGGAGAGGCATATATGTCAAACATTTTCAAAGAATGGACCATTTTACCCTGTACCAGCCATGTCTAAGTAATCTGCTGGCTCCTCCCCTTCACCAACATTTGGTTTTCAGGCTTTTGATTTTAGTTGCAACGGAAGATATATAGAGCTTTCCTATGGTTTTAAGATGTTTCTTCCTAATAACTAATAGTTTTAGCACTTTTTCATGTACCAACTGGTCAGCGTTCATATGTTTACTCATGAAATTCCTGCTAAAATCTTTAATCAAAAAAAGAAAAACAAACCCACCTGAGTTGTATTTTTATTACTCAGTTATAGAAGTTCTTACTTTGTATACCAATCGTTTGTCAGATATATGCCTCATGATGGTTTTCTTCTCGTCTATGGTCTGCCTTTTTGTTTTCTTAAGAGTGCTTTCTGTTTGACTATTTCTAAGACAAGGTCTCACTAATACGCTAAGTTGCCCACACTGGACGCAAACTTTCAATCCTCTTGCCTCAGCTTCCCAGAGTGAAAGCTATCTTTTAATAAGCAAAAGTTACAAATTTTGGTTCTTTTTTTCTTTTCTTTCTGTTTTGAGACAGGGTCGTGCTATGTAATTTGACTGGCCCTCAACTCACTATATGGGCCAGGCTGGCCTTGAACTCATGTGCATATATGTCAGATAGGTTTGCAAAGTACTGCGCAGTTACTGTGTTTCAACAAACACTGCTGTTCAGCCGAGTGCTGGGATTACAGGCATGTACCAACCATGCCTGGCTAAAAACTTTGAATTTTGATGAAGTTTAATTTGGAAACCTTTTATGGTGTTTTCTTTTCTTTTTTTTTTTTTTTTTTTTTTTTTGTCTTTTTCCTTTTTATCGGTACCGGGGATCGAACTCACAACTGCCTGCTTTACAAGGCAGGCGCTTATGCCGCTGAGCTAAATCCCCAGCCCCTATGGTGTTTTCTATTTTTTTTGTTTGTTTGTTTCTTATTCATGAAATCTGTGCTTATCCAAGGATCTAAAAAGTGTATTCCTAGATTTTCATTTAGAATCTTCAGTTTTATTTTTCACAATGGGGTCTACGAGACCCCAAAAATTTGGATATAGTGTGATATAGAGAACAACCACCCCAAACATATAAATATCTCATTTTTCTAGCAGTGTTTGTTGAAACAATTATTTACTTCAATGGCCTGCTTTGTTACCTCTGTCAAGAGGCAACCGTGTAAACATGGCTCCTGTACTGTTTCCACTTACCAATTCTTACACCTCATTACCCTAACATACACTTGTAAGTCTTGTAGTCCTCCATTATGTTGCTTAATTTCAATGCAAAAATACATCTGTAATAACTACTTACTTAACACCTTTACTTGATAATTCTATCATTTGTCAACTGTTGTACTGACTGATCTTTCTCCTGGTTATGTCAAATTTGCTTGCTCCTTTGACTGTCTAGTAGTATTTTTTTTTTAATTGTATAGCAAACATTGTGAATGTTGAGCTGAATGTTTGGATTTTGTTGTCTTCCTTAAGTATGGGGCTGTGTTATGGATTGTCTAACAGTTTTTTGTTTTTATTGGATGATAAACATTGAATATTAAACTGAGCATTTAGATTTTGTCTTCTTTAAAGAATACAGGAATTTGTTCTGGCAAGTAAATTACTTGCATGTCAGCTCAACCTTTTGGAGTTTAGAGAAATCTATTAGAAAGGGCTCTATAATAGTCCTAACCTTATACCTTTCCTTGGCCATATGTACAAATATTTCTGCATGTCAACTTTCCTATCTTTGGATAAGCCTTTGAGAAAACAGACACTATGTTTACGTGTGTCCCATTCCTTCTCCTCCTACTTCAGATACCATGACTGCCAAAGTGTTACAGAGATAAATGTAGCTGAATATAAAAATTAAATTCAAGGTAAATATTTTTAGTACTAACGACAAATGCTTCTTACTTTTACAAAGTAATAACCCATTTGACAAAGTCATTTAACAAAGACTAAGATGAGTTCTCAGGTTTAATTTTTATTAATATTGTTCTCCTTGTTCCTTATCATTTTATTACTTTTGTCTGAAACATTTTTTAAACTTTTTTTGCCTCCTAGAAATCCTTCTACATGCTAGTCAGGCACTCTATCACTGAGGTAAAGCCCCAGACCTCAATATCCCAAACCTGCATAGTCTCCCAAATCTGTTTCCAATATAACAGGAGTATTAAATATGTAAATAATGAAAAGCTATTCTCTTAATATACCATGCTCTTTAAAATATGAAATATATACTTTTAAAGGGCTTGAGTTTCTAATATTTATGATTTTAAATAAAGGTAGTTTAAAATATATTTTATTTTATTTATGTATGTTTAGTATTGGGAACTGAACTCAGGACCTTGTGCTTACTAGGCAGGCATGTGTGCCTCCAAATATGTATTTTGAAAAAATTTTCTGAATTTGCAAACTCAAGGAAAGTAATTCAACTCGTTTAACATAAAGCATTAGTAAAGAATCACATCATTATTTTATATCTTTATATTTTTAAAAAGCCTTTAATTTATTGGGTCTTAGTCTTTTAAGAACTCAAATTTAGAGACCAAATTTCCACTCAATTTAAGTACTTTGTTTAAAAAGTTTAAAACCAGGGGGCTGGGGATTTAGCTCAGCGGCGTAAGCACCTGCCTTGCAAGCAGGCGGTCGTGAGTTTGATCCCCGGTACTGATAAAAAAAAATGAAAAAGACAAAAAAAAAAAAAAAAAAAAAAAAAAGTTTAAAACCAAATGCTTAGTAACCGCCAAGTTTACATTTCAAATTCCATCACTGCAAGCTCTTAAAGAATATCAATCTGCTTTAAAATACTATGATCCCTCATTATAATTGGGGGCCTAATTCGGAACCCCTCAAGACTATTAAAATCCTTCAATACTCAAGTGCATTATATAAAGGCAGCACAGTATCTGCATAATTTACAAACATTCTTTCATATTTTAAAACATCTCTATATTAGTTATCATGGCTAATACAATGTTAATTTTATGTCTATGATCGGTTAAGCTGTACTTGGAACAGTAACAAGGAAAAAAATCTATACACATACAATAGAAACACAAATTTTTTTCTGAATATCTTCCATCCAAAATTGGTGAAATCCTGTCTGGCAAGTGCAATGTTGTGAGTTTAATCCTCAGCACCAAAAATAAATAAATAAATAAATAAATAAATAAATAAATATTTAAAAAGGGTGAAATCTAAGGATGCTCAACCCATTGATATGGAAACCCACAGATAACGGAGGCTATCAGTCAATCGCTCAAAAGTAAAAACAATTTACATTTTCTTCCAAAAGCCAAATTCATTTAGTTTTTGTTGTTTTAAGACAGGATATTGCTATGTAGTACAAGCTGGCCTTGAACTTGGCTATAAATTCTCAGTCCTTCAGTTTCCTAAGTACTGGGATTACACACATGTAACACCACACCTAATTTTCATTCAGTTTTTAAATAAATCAAATTTTAGACTAAAGCCTAAAATACTTTAAAAAATTGATTTTAATTCAAATAGCAAGGCTGTTACAAATATTGATTTTAAAAAGCTTTAACTTCTCACCTGATTGCAAGTATCAGATAATGAGTGTATAGCTTCTGAGAACATACTTGCTGAACCCGTATAAATCCATGCAAGAAATTTAAAGAAGCAGTTTAAACCATTGCTGTGAAATAAAAATAGTAAGTTAGCATGTGTTTGGACTAAAATTTTCCACCAAAACCTTATTTAATTGATTTTATAAACTGCTATGCTAGGTACTATTAAAGGCAAATTAAAAAGAACTGAATACTGTTCAGGTAACAGGAGTACAAATTTGGAAAATATAAATTAACATGTCACAAAGTATTCAAATGAAGAAGTATGCTATATGCAGGAAAATTTGTTAAGTACACTTTGAGAAAGGGAGAAAAGATGGCGTTCTACATTTAGATAAGATGATCTAAAAGGAAAATCTAAAACTGAATTAAGAAAAAGAGGATCTTGCCCTGTCCTGTACAGAACTGCCAAAGGCGTACGTCAGTACAGGTTTGTTTGCTTAACTAGACAGATGCCAGAGCTATGGTCAAACTTAGACCAAATAGGCTCACTGTCTTACCCAAAGACTACAATAAATGTGGTTAGCTCAGAGAAACATATCCCAGGTGCAGTATTGGTCACTTGCCACATTACTGTATAGCTCTTATTCAATATTAATACCCCTTCTATGGATAAGGAAATTATCTCCTTGAAGTTACCATTTTCTCTCAACACACTAATTCCTTAAAAAATTATCTAGTATTCTAAGTTTTCTTCATATCGTACTAACATTATTCACTAAACACCTCAGCCTTCAATACCCTATTAGATTTCTTATCATTACCACCAACCTTCCCTTGTTATCAAATTCCTGAAAACAGCACCAGGCATGATGGCATAAGACTGTAATTTCACACACACGAGGATACTGAGTCAGGTGGATGGTAACTGAAAGTTTAGACTGAGGGATTTTTCCAGATCCTGTCTTGAACTAACTACGGGGTGTGGCTCACTACAAAGCCCTTGGGTTCAACCCAGTATCATTTCCCTAAGCATGTGAGAGGGCTTGTGTTCAATCCTGGAAAAATAAATAAACAAATAAATATAAAGTTTTACCACTTTCAGGGAAAATGAGAGGATTTTCAGTCAGCAACTTCAATATTAACACAAGGATAAATGTCTATGTTCACTTGGACCCTTCCTATCACTTTATTGACAATAATACAGACTTTCTAACTGCCTCCTAAAACAGTATCAGCCTGCAATTCTGTAGCTCATGACTAAATAGTAAATTGATACATTCAAGGATATGCACATTAAAAAGATATACTCCTATTTTTAAAAGCCTATTTTTCAGTACTTACATGCAAATGGCAACCATTACCACTTTTCCTGGTCCCTTGAAGAATACTGATGCTGTTCCAGAACGTGGCTGCAAAAACAAAATAAAAAACCTCTAAATTCTCCCAGAGACACACTGTAATTGGTACCTCTGACAAAACAGAAAACTCCTCTATTAAAACCTCCAAACAACCAGGTTTATTTATTAATATCCTTTCTCCAGAAAGTTCTTTAAAAAGCAAACAGATTAAAATAGAATTTAAGTACTTCTCCAGAATCTTGTTTATTGTTTTCTTGTAATTCACATCTTGAGGTCTTCAAGAAATAATCCCAGTTTCTACACAGAAACTAGTAAAAAACTAGTAAGAATATATTGACCTAAAATCCATATACGCTAAAATTTTCCATTTCTTGAGCAACTCCTTTTTTAAAAAAAAAAAGTAACAGCCAAAGCCAACAAACTTACTACTTGAATTTAACTCTTCTGTGTTATCTAAAGACAGAAAACCTCAAGTGAAAGTATCGTGTTTAACTGCAAAACAGACCAAAACAAAGGGAACAAAACGAGTAGTGAAACAGGAAATATTTTCCTGAGTTAAATTTTATTTTGCTATTCCTTGAATATATACCTACGATCTTCCTGCTACTTTTTCTTCTCCTGAAATGCTGTCTACTTCTAGCACAACCTAAGTTTTAATCACTCGTCCATGTCTGACCAAATGATACCTTTCTTTCTTTCTTTCTTTTTTTTTTGGGGGGGGGGTGTCTTTTTGTGACAGGGTTTCACTATGCAGTTCAGGCTGGCCTTGAACTCATTTTGTATCCCAGGCTGGCCTCAAACTTGCAGCAATCCTCTTGCCTAAGTCTGCCAAGTGCTGGAATGATAGGCATGTGCCACCACACTCAGGAAGTATTACCTCTGTCTATAAAGGCTTCTCTGATCACCTACACAGAAATAAATGCTCTACTACAAATTATTATACTTTACATCTCTATTGTTTTTACATTCTGTCATTTATTTGGGAAATACTGATTATGAACTACTATATGTTTGGTGTGTACTAGATACTAGAGTATGACAGTAAGTAAGATGGTATCCTTGCCATCATAGATCTCATATTCTAGTCCAGTAGGACAGAATAAATCCATGAAAAAATGCCTACCATCAGAGAGTGATGAACATAATAAAGAAAACAAAAGAACAGAGTATGAGAGAAAAACGGGTGATAGTAGTAGGGATGGGAAGAGTTATTTTAGCTATTATAGTCAGAGAAAGAGGTTTACTGATGAGATGCAGGCAATCAAGAAACACGATCTAGAAGAAAAATGTTTGAGGCAGAGTATGGAACATGTTCAAAGACTCTGGGTGAGAAACAAGCTTGGTACTCAAAGGGCAAAAAGAAAACAAAACGTTTTCATCGTTCTCTACTTTAACGATGAAAACGGTAAGAGCTGAACCCATGCAGACAGACAGAGGCTATATTTTACAGGTCTTTGCAGACTACAGAAAAAGTTTAAATTTTATTCTAATGGAAAAAAAAAAGCCACTGGACAACTTTCAGGAGAGACCTGACACATTCTTATTTATATAAAAAAGATATAGTTTATAATGTCAAGATAAAGCAAAAGGAGGTGAGATTAATTAGGATATTCTATACAAGAGATGACAGACTTAGTTCTTGCCAAGTTAACACAGCTTATGTCAAGTTTGTTCTTGTAGACAAAGCAAGTCTGGAATAGCAGGAATGGACTTCAATGAAAGTAGGGTGTTATGGTTTACATCTATACATTCCCCCAAAGTCTCATGCAGTCATACATGGGGTTTTTTCAGAGGTGACTAGACCTAAAATGTGTGGTATACTCATGGTGCAATGCTAGGATTAAGGGTGGGTGACTACTAAATCGGTACACTGGTGTGCCACCATCCCAAATTCCAGCAGCCTGGATACAATACAAAGGTCAGAAAGAGGCTTCTCTTCTCCCTCCCTTGTCGCTGTGCTACTGTCTGCCCACCACACACTGTTTTCCTATGCAAAGCCCCCCTTTGTTGGAGCCAGCCAATTATGGACTGAAACATCTATAAACTACGAGCTACATAAATCTTTCCTCCCTTAACTTATGGATGTTGGGCATTTTTTTCGCAACAATGAGAAAAGTAACTAAGACACAGGGGTCTTATAGACAAACTTAAGTTAAACTTTACTTCTATAGAGGCAACTTGGCATGGTGTTGCAAAAAGAAGGTTGAGGTGAAATTCCACTTCATACCCAGGAGAGCAAAATAGATTGGGGCAAGGGGTACTAAATAGTGATTTTCAGGCAGTTTTGCAATTCAGGATTTTAAAGAATACCTCAACAACTCCCTGTTGACAACGGGACACAAAGTGAACCTCTACCTTTAAAGGTCACATTTTGAAAAGTAGTGTGAAGTCAGATGCCCCCATTCTCTAATTATGCAGAAACAAATCTTATCTATGCAGTTTTAACTTGTAATTAATTTGTAGGCTACAAACTGCAGGGAATCTAGATTTGTGATTTTCACTGTTCTGTGACAACATACAGATACAATGCTAGGGTAAGGATTACAGATAACATACGGAGCATCTATGTTTGATTTTAATGAGAATATTTCATATCTTTTGGTTAAGTAAAAAAGGAAACTATAAAAAAATTATTACAAATCACAGTGGTGTACACACCTGTAACTCCACAAATTTAAGAGGCTGACTGGAGAATCATGAATTTGAGACCAGCACGGACAATTTACCAAGACCTTGTCACAAAACATCAAGTCTGGGGATATAGCTCAGTGGCAGGACCCTTGCCTAACATGTGTGAAGCCTTGGTTTGATCCCCAGTATCATTGGCAGGGGCTGGGCTGGGCTGGGTGGGTGCGTGCATGTATGTGTATGTGTGTGTGTGTGTGTGTGTGTGTGTGTGCGCGCGTGCGCGTGTACGCACATGCATGCATATCTGTGTGTGTATATGTATATTGGTGAAAAAATGCTGCTTAGGGTGGAAGATAAAGACTTTATTAGAAAAAAGGTTTGAGAAGTTATAAGAGGGAAGTCAGAGAAGGAAGGAAAATAAGATTTTTAAAATCAGAGTAGAATGTTATAAAACAAAGAAATTTAACTAAACTCAAGTAGTGCTGATAAAAAGGTGGTAAAAATGGGGAAAATGTGTTGCCAGTAAGTCAGAAATAATGACAAGGCCCAAGGAAATCTAATAAGAAAAAAAGTATGAAAAAATAAATCCTAACAAATCACAATCCACAACCCTTTGGGAAGCATCCTGCAAAAGCTACTCATCAGTCCCTTAATAAAAGCAGTTGGAGAACTGCCTTCCTTTGAAGACCAGAATAGCAAAAATGCAAGTGAATTTCCATCACAGGACTGCTTTCATTGCATCCCCTAAGTTCCAGTATGCTGTACTGGCATTACTGTTTAATTGTAGAAACTGCTTAACTTCTTTGATTGTACCTGTGATCCATATGTTGTTCTGGAAGGCATTAATTTCCATGTATTTATGCAGTTTTGTGGTTTCTTTTGGCATTAACTTCCAATTTCATTTCACTGTGGTCTGATAACATGCACAGGATATTTTCGATTCCCATGCACTTACTTATGCATGTTCTATGAACTAGTATGTGGTCTGTTTTGGAAAAACTATTGTGTGCAGCCGAGAAGAATGTATGCTCTATACTGTAGGGTAGAAACCTGGGAAATTTATAGTGGTAAATTCCTACATCAGAAAAACAGAGTGAGCTAAAATAAACAACCTAGTGTTGAACCTCAAGTTTCTAGAAAAATAAGAGCAAGCTAAATCCAAAGCATAGCTGGGATAGAGCTCAGTGACACAGCGCCTGCCTGGCAAGCATGAAGTCATGAGTTTGATTCCTGATACCAATTAAAAAAAACCCAAAGAACGTAAGAGAAAGTTACAAAGATCAGAACAGAAATTAACATAATTGAGATTAACAAAACAATACAAAAAAAATCAATGAATCGAAGAATTCATTCTTTGGAAGATTAAATAAAATGGACAAACCTTTAGACAGCCTTATAAAAAAAAAAGACTCAAATCCATGTAACTAAGAATAAAAAGGATGAAATCACAACAGATCCTGAGAAATACACAAGACTATCAATATCTGTTTTGAAAATCTGTACTTTATTTAATTAGATCAAAAACATACAAGAATTTAGGGGCTGGGGATTTAGTTCAGCGGCATAAGCACCTGCCTTGCAAGCAGGCGGTGGTGAGTTCAATCCCCGGTACTGATTAAAAAAAAAAAAAAAAAAAAAAAAAAAAAACATACAAGAAATGGATAGATACATATGAATTACCAAAGCTGAATCAAGAAGATATAAAAATTCTAAATAACCAAATGTCAGTCAATGAAATTAAAGATGTAATTAAAAAATCTACCAACAAAGAAAAGTTCTGGTGCTGATTGTTGAATTCTATAAGAAATTTACAAAAGACCTAATGTCGTTACTTCTCAAACTCTTTAATGAAATTGAAAGGGAAGCAATACTCCTATCCTCATTCCTGGAAGCAAATATTACCCTAATACCAAAACCAGAGAAGGAATCAACCAAAAAATGAGAACAACTGGTTAGTCTTCTCTAATAAACATAGATATAGAAACCCTCAGTAAGATCCTAGCAAACAAAAGATCCTAGAAAAATTAATCTTGATTAATTTGCTGCACTTCATTCCAAGTAGGCTTCATTCCAGGGATGCATGAATGGTTTGACATACAGAAATCAATAAATGTAATACACCATATTAACAGAGTCAAGGACAAAAACCATATGATCATCTCATAGATGCAGAAAAAGCTTTTGACAAAGTCCAACACCCATTCATGTTAAAAACCCTACAGAAAGCTGGAATACATGGTCTTTATCTCAATCTGTTAAAAGCCATCTGCAACAAATTAACAACCAAATTCATACTAAATGCTGAAAATACTGAAAGCTTTTACTCTAAAATCAGGAATATGACAAGGATGTCCACTATCACCACTCCTATTTAATCATTAGCTAGAGTAATTGGGTAAGAGAAAGAAATAAAAAGTATAAAGATAGGAAAAGAAAGACATTATCATTATTTGCAGATGACATGATACTCTACAAAGAAAATCCCAAAAACCCCATCAAAATACTTCTAGATTTAATAACCGAATTAAGTAGCATAGCTGAATATAAAGTCAACACTCAAAAATCAATAGCATTCCTGGACACAAATAACAAACTCTCCGAGAAAGAAATCAGGGAAAAGACATCTTTCACAACAGCATCAAACAAACAAACTAACTAACAAACAATGAAATACTTAGCAATAAATATAACAAAGAAAGTAAAAGACTTTTAATTGACAAATACAGTATTATGAAAAAGGAGACTGAATTGGATATCATAAAATAGAAAGATACCCCTTGCTTTTGGGTAGGAAAAACCAATATAGTGAAAATGGCCATATTTTCAGAATTTTTATACTGATTTAATGCAATCCCAATCAAAATACCATTATTCTGTCTTACTGGTACTGGGAAAACTGGCTTTCCACATGTCAAACATTAAACCTAGAGCCTATCTCTCACCATGCACTAAAATTAATGTAGAAATGGATCAAAGATCAAAATATTAAAACAGAAATATACCAAATCTGCTGGAAGATGATTAAAAAATAAAGTTTTTTTTTCTTAAAAATGCTGATGATTACTAAAACTGGATATTTCTGTTTGTTTTCTATTTTTTGCATACATTTGAAAGGCTTTTTTAATATTGGGACTCAGAAAATTAGGACAGATTTTAGGGAGGACTATCAGGAAAAGCAGCATCAATTATGCATAGCACACTAATAGTTCACCTCAAGGTGATACTATTAGTGCATTACATTCTTTCAGTGTTCTGAGGGGCTATCCTAAGAAATTCAAGAAACTAGAGCATATTAAAGGGAAAATATGTTAGAAGGACAATGTGAAATTATAATATTGGAGGTTAGCTACCACTCTGACGACAAAATGCTTTCAGCACAGCCATAATACTGTGACTTCTATCTCACTACTATAGAGCCTATGACACAGAAGAATACAATGGACAAAGTGTCTGCTTCAGAAACAAGAAAAAGCAAAATATGCATTTAATTTCAGCAAATGGCACTAGTCCTGTATGTTTCAGAGAAGGACGTAATCACCTTCAGTGTAAAAATATTCCTACAGGGAACAGGGAAATAGCAGAGGAAAGAAATACTGATTTTATCCAACTACTACAAAGGAGGGGGAGATAACAGAAAACTTCCATTGAAAAACTGTAATATTAAAAACTGAAGAGTACTAAGTCTTCAAAAGGTCTCTAGTGACACAGACTTTAGAAGTCAACAGTTATTTTTAAAACTTTTAAAATTTCCATGTGAAACAGACATACAGAGAGGGAATCACTTCTCAAGGGGCATGTGTCACTGCCTAAGTCACTCCATGCAAAAGGCAATGGCAGCAGCCCTTGCAGCACTAGAGTGCCAGCGCAGGTCACGCCACATGAAGGCTCTACCCCAGAGGGAAGTTCGTATTTTCAGTCCTATACTGTAATGTCACACAGACAGGGCGTAAAGAGGAAACAGAAATGAACAGATATTGAATTAAAAGAATAGGGGAAAAAAGCATATCAAATAAGATTTAATAAAGTTGTCCTCATTGCCAAACTCTAAACTTTGTAAAAAGAGAGCAATGTCTGAAATGGCACCCAGTGAAGAAATTAGGTATATAGGTAACCTTTTCCTCAGATCTGGCATTAACTTCCCTGTGTGTGATCTTTCCAAGCTAAATTTAAACAGAAAGTCAATTCTAGATAGAGACTACTTGATATTTTGGAGGTGTTAGTCACTTTAGTAACTGCCATTTTGATGATTTCAAGGATCAAAGTCCAGTTCCACAAACTGTAAGTCAAATTATTTTAAGTCAGAGATCATCTATACATTTATTCTTTTCAATGGAGTAGGAAACAAGCTCAACAGCTAAAGAGTGAGTGAGAGAGCACGAAGTTTGAGAAGAGAGGGATAGATGATAGTATAAATGTTTAACCACGGTGAGGAATAGGAGAAAGAACAAAAGAAATTAAGAGTATATGAGACAGAAATCTTGCTAAAACCTAAGAAAGTAGAATCTATTTTTTCTGCATGTACACGCTTAAAAATGTTACAATTTTATTTTTAATTTTAAGAAAATCAGAAATAAATTGATGCTAATTCAATATATTACAATGTACTCAATAAAATCTTGACAAACATTAGAATTTCACTGTGAACTGGTATTAGGATTTTGTTAGGTAACACATACTCTGTTAGAAAGATATACTTACCTTGGTGTTTCCCAAGAAATCTCTGTATTCTCTCAATACTTTCTGATTTTTAAATAGCCCTGTAAGAATCAAAAAATAAATTTAAGTCAACATATTCATCAGTCAGTTTAGATTAACACAACTATTCTCTTTATATAAAATATGCTATACTAGCTACTAGCAAAATTATCAAAGTTATAAGAAATCTGAACTTACAACCTGATTAAAAATTGAGTAAACTGGGTATAATCTCAGCATTTGGGAGGCTAAAGCAGGAGGATTTCTATGAGTGTAAACTTGGGCTACATAGTGAGTTCAAAGCTCGTCTGAACCTCACAGTGAGACACTGTCTCAAAAAAAGTAAAAGATATCAGTAGATATACCTCCAAAGTTGTACACCAACAGCCAGTAGTATATAAAAGATATTCAACATCACTGATTATCTGAAAACCACATTCATTAAGATAAGTACTATTTAAGAAATGAGGAAGGGGAAAGGTTAGAGTAAGCAAACCAAAAAATAACAAGTACAGGCAAGAATAAGAAACTGGAATCCTTATATATTATTGGTAGGAATGTAAAACAGTGAAACTGTTCTGGAAATCATAAAACTTCCCCCAAAAGTTGAAAATAAAATTACTATATAATCCAGCAATCCCATATCTTGGAATATATCCAAAAGAATATTAACTAGGGTCTCAAACAGTTATTTGCAAATCTATGTTCAAAATAGTACACTACTCACAACTGTCAAAGGATATATAGCATACACATACAGTGGGTTATTAGTTGGTGCTAAAAAGGAAGTAAATCTTGTCACATGCTACAACATGAATGAACGTTAAGAACATTACGCAAGTGAAATACACCAGCCACAAAAGGACAAAATATTGCACTATTCCACTTCTGTGAGGTACCCAGCAAGTTCAAAGACACAGAAAGCAGAATGATGGCTGTCAGGGACTTGGGGGGAGAATACAAAAGGGTGCAGAGTGCAAAGTTAGAGATTTGCAAGATGAAAAGCTCTGGAGATAGCTGATATGTAGATATATTCAATTCTTCCGAATTGAACATTTAAGAATAGTTAAGGTGTTAAATTTTGTTACAAGGCTTTTTTTCCCTAATCACCATTTTAAAAAGGATAGAGGGAAGTATAAGGACTCTGTATCTATAGTACGATACAGGCAGTTTTAATGTTCAACATCACTGGTCATTCGAAGAGATGCAAATTAAAACAACATTGAGATTCCATCTCACCCTGAAAAGAGGGGCTATTACCAAGAAACCAACCAATAACCAATGCTGGAGGGGCTGTGAGGCAAAAGGAACCCTTTTCCACTGCTGGTGGGAGTGTAGATTGGTGCAACCACTGTGAAATCAATGTGGAGATTCCTCAAAAAATTAGGATTAGAAGTCCATTCCACCCAGGTATTCCCCTTTTGGGAATCTTCCCAGAATGAAAAACATCATAACAAAGTGATATATGTGCACCCATGTTTATAGCAGCACAATCTGTAATAGCTAGATCTTGGATACAATCCAAATGCCCACAACCTAGGAATAGATAAAAAAAAGATGTGGTCTTTTTATGCAATGGAGTAGAACTTAGCTATAAAGAAGGATAAATGTGAGACTTTTATAGGTAAATGGCTACTCATAAGTGAAATAAATCAGACTTACAAGTGTAAACAATGCATTTCTTCCTCATATAAGAAGCTGAAATAAGAAATAAGATCTAGGGGGCTGGGGATTTAGCTCAGCAGCATAAGCACCTGCCTTGCAAGCAGGTAGTCGTGAGTTCAATCCCCAGTACCGATAAAAATGAAAAAGACAAAAAAAAAAAAAAAAAGAAATAAGATCTAAAAGGCACAATAGATACTGTGAAATGGGAAGAAATTGTTTAAAAGGAAAAAGGAACTGGGATGGGTGAAAGGAGAAAAGGACGATAAGGAAAAGTGAAAAAAATGCAAGTCAATTATACTATTAGTATCCCCTAGCTCATTAAAAAGGTTGGTTTATGCTAATACCTATCAGAGAAAATTTTATATCTCTATTTTGTACCCTGAGCAAATACTTTAACCATAACAAGATGTATTAACTATTATTTTCCTATTGTTTTGTTATAAAATTTTGTTTTACCTTTTTCCATTAAAAAAGATGGAGCCAGACAGTCTGAAAAGTGTCAATATTACTTGAAAAAATTAAGTTATTTTAAAGCACAATATTAAAACAAGTTTTTTTGTCAACATTTAAAAACTCAAGAAACAATATTCTTGGGGACTCAAAAAAGATGGCAGATAGATAACAGCAAGCTACAGAGGCTCCCCTGAGATAGTCAACTTAGATTCCAAAAATAATATAGCATGGGGAGTCCCAAACAGAGGGAGACAGACCCTCCCAATGCAGGAACAAACTAAGATGAGAGAAACCAATTAAAAATACAGTGCCGGTGCTACTACTGGAAGACCTACAGTCTTGATACTGTCGCTTGAACTTGCTACTTGAACACCCTGCAGCTGCTGCGCTTGAACCCGTGCCGTGGAAACTTACCGAGCTACCGGAAAGCCCAGTTTCAACTCACAGGAGATGCATTCGCACTAAGAATGTGAATCAGTGAACCGAACTGAGAGCCGAGCTGGCAGGGAACCCTGCATTGACCTGCAGTGAGTGATGGGAATAAAAACCTTCCACAAAGAGACTCTAACAGACAACATTCTGAGACCAGGCAGACTGACGGGAACAGGGTGCTGCAGTGACTTCGGTCAGCTACTCCATTCTCAAGTGGGATTGGTGGGGAGCACTTGACCTGGGTCACGCTCCGGACTTAGACCCGGTAGGCTAGCCCAAACCAAGTCCCTGGCCTGGTGGTGCACCCTAATGCAGTGCCTCAGCAGTTTGACTGAGCCGGAGGGGAGGGCCCAGCATAGGCTGCCCTGGTCTGTATCTCCCTAGTACACTGCAGTGGGTGGGAGCACCTCGTCAGTGCCTCAGACAAACTGTAAACAAAAAAGAAAGAAACTGGGCCTCCTACATACACCTGTATGGAAGGAACAAAAAATATGAGGAGAGGAAGCAACAAGAATGGGTCCCCAGTCCCTAATCCTGAGAATACTGATCCAGGAAAGGCAAATGCAAAAGAGAATGAGGACAGCAAACATGCAATATCAGACATGGCACCAGTGTCTACTGGTAAAGCAGAATCTTTGGGACCTCATAGATGAGTTCAAGAGTAAAGTATTTAACCAAATAAAGCAACATACAAATAAAATGAAATGCTAAGCATATCTCAAGAAAAAACAGACAGAAGGGAAGAACACAAAAAAGGGAGAATTGTTTGATGAAGTAAATAGAGAAAACATAGAATACATGAAGCAGGTTCAAAGAAATTACCAGGAAATTAAAAACTCCATTGAAAGCTGGCAAAACTGCTTGAAAGAAACTAAGGATAGAGTATCCAAATTAGACGACAGGTTTGCAATGTGGGATCATGAAAGGAAAAATTTCTTAAAAATAACAAGGCAACAAGCAGTAACAATACAAAGGCTAGAAGACAACAAGGGGATCTGTAACTTAAGAATAAAGAATATGAATGAAGAAGCAGGGGTAAAAACAAAGGAATTACAAAGGCTATTCACAGAAATAATTAAGGAAAACTTCCCAAACATAGGAAAAGGAAAAGATATTCAGATGTATGAGGCATACAGAACTCAAGCCACCTACAACCAAAACAGAACTACACCCAGGCATATGATAATCAAAAATCCCAGAAATCCAATATAAGAACAGAATATTAAAAGCTGTCAGAGACAAGAAACAGATTACCTACAAGGGAAAGCCCATCAGACTTACAGCAGACTTCTTGGCACAAACCATCAAATCGAGAAGAGAGTGGAGCAAAGTATTCCTGAAAGAAAATAACCTCCAGCCAAGATTGATGTACCCTGCAAAAATGTCCCTGGAAATTAATGGTGAAACAAGATGTTTCCGAGATAAAGATGAACCGGGGAAATTCACAACCACCAATCCAACCCTACAGAGAATTCTATAGGACATTCTAAAGAGAGAGAAAAGCACCAGGATTTCAGAAACAGTGGCAGAGAGGCCCCAATGAATGGAGCATAAAGCAAAATGAAGATGACAAACAACTAATGATGGAAAAAGAGAACAACAGAAATGAGGCAGAGAAGGTTGGATATAATTTCTAATATAGATGGCCTAGATACACTAAATTAAGGAAAAAAGACAGAATCACAGGTAGAGTGGATCAAGTGGTAGGATACACTGAGATACTCTTTATAGGAAATATAATTAACCTAAAGAGGGGTATATGGATCAAAATCAAATATGAGAAAACAGAACTCTGTGTGATAGGGAACCAGAGAGTAAAAGGGGCAACTGGACCAGTATTTATGGATAGGTTGGAGAGACAGGCTTTAATAAGTAAAGAAATACAACTAGAGATCAAGTCCAGGAGTGAGAAAGTTTGGAAACATTTTGGTAAAAAACAGGTTGCCCCCCCCCAATATAAAACGGAGGTGTTGGGGAAACCCAAAAATACTCAGTACATCCTGGGGGGGGGGGGTGAAAGAGGAGTGAAAGGGGAGAAATAGTCTTAAAAAAGATAGCAGAAGATATTGCTAATAGTGTATCAGGAATTAAAACCTGTATTACTCGCACACTCTCCTTAAATAGAATCTATTCCGTCCCACTTTGTATACAAGCACTAGATCTGAGGGCACAGACAGCTATCTCAAAATTATCAGGATATAACAAAGTAATCATCTTTAATTTCCTATTAACTTAATCTGGATCCCTGTATAACTTATACTGTTATATCCTGACTTAGTTAAATCTGATTTGTTTGATTGCTGCTTGTTATTGACAGATTTTATTCAAAACTGTTAGGTTGATAGTATTGTCAGTATAGACAGTATAGACAATTATACTGAAAATGACAATGATTCACTATGATACCCATTCTGATTTGATTACTACCTGTTTTTGTAGTTCTACACTATCTACAAAGTTGTGTTTCTATTAATACTTTATGCACTGATATATTCAATTATACTTTATCTGA